GAGGCGGACTGCCTCAGGGTCGTCCTGAATCGGATCCTTTCCGCTTGATTCCGCCTGGTCCAGAGGTGGCTGTCCCCCAAGGAGTCGGCTCCCCTTGCCGGTCCATGGATTTTGAACCCTGGTGGGCTGGCGTGCCGACGGATTCCTGGTTCGGACAAGCCGGGAAGCCGTACTTCGGATTGACGAGTTGTTGTCGGCCCAGCTTCGGATCGAGGGGGCCATGTACACGGCTCGTTTTGGTGGTACGGGAGAGGTACGCGGTATTGATGCTGGTGTTCTTGGTTTATTGGGAGGTTGATATGGGGGTATCGGCATGAGCGGGTCTTCTGGGTGCCACCGGCCATACTCCTTCCATGCATATTCTGTCGCGGCGTACTGCAAAATCTTTTTCTTTTCAGTTTCTTCCGCATACCAGTATTCCAGTCCTAACGATGTTGCTTGCCAGCGCATGTCCTGCCATAAAAAGTTCCTCCCCTGCTCATATAGCCCCTGGTACTCCTTGTTCCTTTCTCTTTCCATTTCCTCCTTCAAAGCTTCTTCGTCGGTGTCTTCCCCTGCTCGCTCCATTCGTTGCCAGTATGGGTCGTCACTGTCCTCGTCGTCCTCCTCGTCGCCCTCGGCCCCGCTGTCCTCTCCCTCGAGGAGGGAACAGACGGGCCGGTCGTAAATGGATGGCACGGCTGGTCGAAGGGTCATCGGGGACCCTTCCATTGACTTGGGTGCTGGGTCTGGCATCTTCTTGGTTACTAGTTCAGGCAATGGGAGGGCTCCTAAGCCAACTGTAGCGCGTTCCTCCACGTGCTCTCATCTCCTCCAGTTCTCGGCTATAGAGGCTGAAGTGTCGTTGGAACTCGGAATTAAGGAACTGTCGAGCGACCCTGCTGCCCAGGAATTGCTGGAGAGCTCTGTCGGAGATGTGGGCATTGTCGGATACTCGGAGCCCATAGGCTCCAAGTATGGAGTCGGCATCCGAGGAGATGGTGTCAGTACGGGCAGGATATTCGAGGATGACGGGTCGAGGTTCTTCTGCCCTTCCTCGCCTGATAGCTTCGTCTCAGCTGACGATGCTGGCAGGTCCTGTCCATGGGTCATCTTCTGAGTCGGGTTCTCGGAAGGGGGATTCTGAATCGGTATGGAGCTCATACTCCCTAGGGGAGGCTGACCCCATCCTTTCAACCTCCTCTCTTCTTCTTCGTGCCCTTCCTTGTCTGTCGTACTTTGCTGCTTCGTACTGCTCTCGAGCCTCTTCTTGTACATAGTCGGCGAGCTCTTCCTGAGTTCGCCTGATCTCTTCTTCTCGGTTCTGGTTCTGCTGCTGCTGCTGTACTGCCTGATCGTAGTTAAAGGGGATGGTAAGATCCCAGTCTGGGAATATTCGGTGTATAATTCTGTCCCACACAGCTCTTCCCCTTTCACTGGTGGTTCCGACCTCGGGTTCACTTCTCACGTGGAGGTGTCGGAAGGGATCCCCTGCTGCAGAGATGGCAATCTCTGCATTCGCATAGTTGGGGTGGATAGTCCTTCTGTGCGGATCGTCGATCCCCAGCCTGCTGACAGATAGGCTGGAGCCAGAGTCGGGCTCGGTAGGGGTTTCGGGGGGGTTCTGGGGGAGGTCGGGACTTTCGTGGGATCTCGCAGCCATCTGAGCGACATCAAGGGAGTCCCGAGCACGGTTTCCAATCCCTGAGAGAATTGGGGAGGCGGGATGCTCAGAGGAGACTGCTAGAGTGACGTAGTTGGAGACCTCCATGGGCTCCTGAGTGGCGTTCATCGTCCACAGGTTCCGGAACCCTGTGAGAGCAGGGTGGCGGTTTCGGCTGTCTCGTCGGGGATGTTGAGGTCCTTCTTTCTCGTGAAGGCTCCTCGAATCTGAGTCGTTATTCCTGGTTTCTGGTACAGGTCCCCCTTGTGGGAAGAAGGACGTTCTGGCGGAGGGGGGGATGTCATGGAAGGGGAGATCAGGGGTTACATTGCATAGGATGTGTTGAATGTGCTAGAATGCTTGATAGTGCCTGACTATCCAAGCTGCTACTGATTGTCGTCCTCGGCAAAGGGTGATGATGGCTAGAAGTCCAAGTAAAGTTCCGATGATGGAAGCGATAAGCTTGAAGAAGTCGTGGTTTAGATCAGCGGTTGTTACTGGAGGCATTCGGTTTCTCAGCACAATTGGGCTTGAGAAAGAGAAGAAGAAAGCTTCGAGCTAATTGTTAGGCTCAAGCATCACATAAACAGATACACATGATAAACAGGTGTTCCTTCGCACTTCGAGGAATCACCTGAGTTCACTTGGTATGTACCTGTCCAATGTGACCCAAGGTCAGAAGAAGACTTGAGGTAGAATGGCGTGTATAAACTTTAGCTCAAAGCTGGGGTTATTGCCAGCAAGAGCGTCGGTCTTAAATACTGTACAGGTGGTCCTAATTATATCGCTACTTATTATGTCTGTCTGTGTCTATGGTACTCGTTGTCCTTGAGCACCGATACCGTATATAAAAGGGGAATTGTGTTGTTGTCATGCTTGGCTGTTGCGACGGTTTGGGGATTGTTAGTTGTGCTGACTAAGCTCTCCCACCGTCTTGTGCTCTTCTGACTAAGCGTGAATAGGGATAAAAGGTGGATGTCAAGTAAAAAGAATGGAAAAATCATAACAATATTTCGGCACTTCAGGAATTTGGAGTAAAGTGCTGGGTGTTACAGCAAGATAATAAGAGGTCAAAACTGAATCCAAAGTCAAGGGAATTTATTTTCACAGGTCTTACAGATAAATCCAAGGCCTGAAGATATTATAACCCTTAAACCAGGCAGATTCAGATCTTAAAAAATGTTATATTCTCTGAAAACAACACTACAGAGCCTATAGACACTGACTATATAGTCTCCCACTCTTCATCGCTTGAGAGAGAGTTAGAAAGCAAAGTCGAGCAGACTCTGGATGGAAATGATAGCATTTCAGACAATTCTGTGGATGCTGGAAATGCCAAACCAAAAGGAGAAATAGTCTCTGATGTGTTATTGATCAAATCAAATTTCCCAATATAGTATGGAAAAGTGATCAAGCCACACAACAAATCAGTCCAGATTGCATCAAAGACTCAACTGAGTTACCAGACACTTCATAATCCAAGTGTACAAGCTGTGAAAACATTGGAACAACAGCATATCTCAGAAGAATCATCTTTGGAAGCTGTAAATGTTGCAATAGACTATGCATGCATTGAGGAAACTGCAGACAACCTCAGTGATGAGCCATTAAGCCTTGAAGAAGCCAAAACAAGGCTAGACTGGCATCATTGGAAGAAAGCAATGGATAAAGAATACAATCTATTGACTTCTCTAAGCATATGGCAGCTGAAAGAATTACCTAAAGACAGATCACTTGTGGATTGCAAGTGGACTTACAGATTGAAAAGGGATGATGATGGGAAAATCACCAGGTACAAGGCCAGACTTGTTGCAAAAGGATTTTCACAGGTACCCAGCATTGATTTCTTCAAGACATATGCACCAGTTGTCAGGCTGGACACATTTCGTCTACTCATGGCAATTGCCACTCAAAGAAACCTAATCATTCATGGAATGGATGTTGTTGGAGCTTACTTAAATGGTAAACTCAATGAATCCATTTATATGGCACAGCCACCTGAATATTCAGATGGGAGTGGAAAAGCAGCACACCTCAAATTAACATTGTACAGACTCAAGCAATCTGGCTGAGTTTGGAATGACAAATTAAATGCTACATTTTTGGGACTTGGATATATCAGATTGATCAGTGATCAATATGTGTACATCAGACAAATGAGTTCTGGTCCCATAATCGTAGCTGTACATGTCGACGATATGACATTGCTTACCCCAGATAATGAAACCATATCTAAAATAAAAGAAGAGCTTAAGAAGAAGCTAAATGTCACAGACATGGGGGAGATTCAATATATATTGGGCATGAAGATAGACAGGAATCGGGACAAGAGCACTATCACTCTATCCCAGAAGGCATATATTCTCAAAGTACTTAAGTGAATGGGCATGAATGACTGCAAACTGGTCAAAATATCTATGGACCCAAATGTATGGCTAGAGAAAATTCCAACAGAAGACCCATGAGGCATTGACACAGCCATCAGGCAATATTACCATACTGATGTCAGATCACTAATGTATGTGGCCGATGGATCCTGGCCCGACATTGCACATACTGTCACCGAATTAAGCAAGTACATGCAGAATCCAGCTGCTGAGCATGTCACAGCCTTGAAGCAAGTTTTCTGCTATCTGAAGGGAACTCTAGACTTTGGAATCACATATGGAGGGACTATGGATGAGCTGATACCTTATTCAGACTCAGACTGGGGAGAAGACAGAACAGATAGAAGATTAACATCTGGTTATGTCTGTACCTATACAGGGGGAGCTGTTACTTGGAGTTCAAAGAAACAGCCCACTGTAGCCTTATCCACTATGGAAGCAGAATATATGGCCCTTGCACACACAACCTGGGAAGTAATTTGGCTATGAGCACTCTTAACCAAATTAGGATTGCCACCTTATGAAGCGATGACTATTTTCATCGACAATCAATCAGCAATCAAATTTGCCGAGAACCCTATATTCCATGCACAATCGAAGCATATAGACATATGGCACCACTTTGTTCATGAGCACATGGCTTCAAACGAAGTTAAAGTTCAGCACTGTGCATCAGAGGAGAACTTAGCAGATATATTCACTAAAGGCCTACCAAGACCATTACATGAGTATTTATCTGCAGGTATTCTAGGAACTCGGAATTGAGGGGGAGTGTTGGGATAGCAATCCCAAGCGAGTATGAGAACATACTCGAAGACACAATGCCAGTCAGTGGCAGCTGACTTGGATCATGATCCAGACTTATTTAGTATCTCATAGAAAGATCTCGAAGTAATACAAAATGTATTTAAGTAGAATGTTTCTCTCTCGAGAGGCTAATACTAATCCTCTGTACATTACTCTGCTCTCTACTTACAACAGTCCTGTCACTCGCGACCGCTGTGGGCCCGGCTGTTCCTGCTTGTTTGTACTGATACCAAGACCACTAGAAACTTTTTTCATCACTTTGTTAGTGAGAGCTCAGTCATTATTTCCTCAATGACAGTAATGGTGGATTTAAAACATTATAAACCTCAAGTTATTCGATTATTGAAAACAAGCCGGAGCTCAATAAGAAGGAAGACAAGACATTCAATTAGAGTTCCTGATCAGATATATGTACTTGCTGTGAAAGTTGGATATGTAGAAGGAAAGAATAAACGAAAAGGAATGTGAAGATTTTACTTGCTTCGGTGCCTATGCATCCGGAACGGTAATGGCACCCCAAGGAGCACTACCATACTGGCCAACAATCGTAGCATCGCTCCAAGTGCTGTCGTCGGTGGCGGGAAGCTGGAATCCAGTAGGCAGATCAGTGGTCGTCTTCCAGGTGGTATCTGTGACATAGGAAACCGACGTTCCATCATTATACGCGACCAGAATGGTAGCAATGACACCAGCCGGACCACCAGTGTTCTGCCCATCAACTGCAAACACGTTCTGGTCGGGGTCCAATTGGGGTACGGAGTATGCTTGGGCGGTCTGGAAGTCTGTGCCTGATCCGAGGGACTCTCCGTTGGCATAGAGCGTGTACGCGTTGTCGCTGTGAACTATTGATCAATGACCGCGGGTGAAAGGAAGAGGGAAAGGACCTACACAGTGATGACTACCTTTGCACACACCGCGCCCTTACCATATGGGGAAGTGACCGTCTTCCTGAATGCCCTGTGTCCAACCGGGGCGTTCCCTGCAGAGGTCTCGTTCGTCCAAATCCAGTTACTTTGGGTTATGTCAAGTGCGCTGGGAAGTGTGGTCTGGCCCCAGGGAGAGACGCCCTCCATTCCTTGCCCGACCGCTGCAATCCAAGCCGAGTCGTCCAAACTCGGGTTTTCGAATCCAGCTGGGGGAGCGGACTGGAGGGTCTTCCAGGATGCGTCGGTAACAAAGGTTTCGGTGGTGCCGTCGGCGTAGTCAACGAGGACAGTGGCAATCAAACCGGCGGGTCCTCCAGTGTTGGTACCATTGACGGCAATGACGTTGTCGGATTCTGGTTCGAGGCCGACAGTGTACACCTGTGCGTCTGAGAAGGACGCGCCTGAGCCGACTTGTGCACCGTTGACGTAGAGTGTGTGGAGGTTGTCACTGTAAATATATACTTTGAAAAATCTTGAAATGACTGATGAAGCCAAACTTACGTAGCGATGAGGATGGTGGCGCACACCGGACACTTGGTGCTGGTGTGGGGGATGGTCTTGCGGAAGGGCCGAGAACCGATGGGAGCGTTTCCCCCCGCGCCGGCTTCTTCTCCAGTCCAGATCCAGTTGGAGTTGGCTAGGGTAAGAGGCTGGGCTGCGGCGCGCGCTGCGAGAGACGCGCTTTCAGTGTTCGCTGCATTGGCAACCAGACCTGAAAAATGAGTGAGTATGGAATCAGAGGGTAAATCACGAAAAGACGCGTACTCTTCTCCGACGCAGGGAACGCAGTCGTGAGAACCGCTGAAAGAACGACGGGCAAGAGCAAAAGAGCTATAGAAACGATATGAGCGGGAAGAAAGAAAGGAGAGGGAGCTGGATAGGATTGAAAGGTCACCTTGGGAGAACATTAAAGAGTGAAATATCTACCTGTCGGTGGATGGCCAGAATGTGCATTACCGCCTTGTTTTTATAGCAAATGTCTGTCTGACGCGAAGACCAGAAAATAATCCTAGTAATTCAACAGCATAGCAAATGCCTGACAGACAGAATCGAAGGAGATATATAAGGGCCTCGAGAAGTTTTTTTTAAAAATTTCCTGACAGAACGGAGGACTGCTGACTCTTCCCCGAAATGATGTTGAAGAATTTCTGACGTGGATGACATGCAAGAAGAGACGATGGGTCCAGCACGCTGTCGAGTAGAGAGATACCAGACATCTATAAGGTTCCTCTAGTGCGACGCTGTCCAAGCCAGTTTTGATTGACATTACACAGTAGCATTTTGTAGACTCGACCGCTAGTTATTAGGAAACCGAATAGATGAACCGGTATATGTAGATGACAATCATGATTTTCAAAAAGATGGCATCACTGATGGCAGAAGAACGTTAAGCGCTAGCACTCAAGTTGATCAAAAATGACCGAACACATGATTGGATTTCCGCACTTTGAACTGAGCTGATGTCGTTGGAAAACTAGTAATGACATACTCGAAGCGTTTCCGAGACGCTTCGACGAAAATTTTCGGTGTCTTTGGCGCGGCTATTATTTGAAACCATTGAAATAGAACAAGAACTTGGAAGGCGAGCCAAAAAAAGGCCAATTGTCCGACATGGTAGTCACAGGATCTTTTACGTGCAGGTTGTTTTCATTTGCTTGTCGTCTCTTCCTTCTTCTTACCACCACGATGGCCGCCAAGTCTCAGTCTGTACCTCCTAGTATGAACACCTCCTCTGATGGCATCTCCGTGGAAATGATGGCTATTCTGCGCGAAATACAGCATCGGATGAACGAACTGCAGCTCAAGGTCGGCGAACTTCAACTCAAGGTCGACGACATGAACACCCGCATCATTGTCTTGGAAGATTTTGCCACGATGCAGCCTGTCAGGTTGTACAACGCAGCGATTAGGGGGTCATCCCCTCTTGGTTATCCTCCGCCTCACATCGGTGGTCAGAATGGACTGCCATTGACTATACGCGATGTTGGTCAGTTAACAAGTGCGTGCTTCTGTAAGCTACTATAGCATTTGGTCAGCTTTCTTCTAGACGACGAAGTGATAGCGACTTCAGCTCTTCTTGGTTTGCCTCCACTACCTGCGGATTCAACGGAAGATGAAAGGCTGGATCAATTTATGTTGCACATGGGCATAATACTGTAGCCAGAGTCCATTTCTTTTGATCACAAATTGTTTGTAAACCACGTCAAATTCCACGATTAGCTAGCAGCCCGTTGTCTCCATGTTCTTCCTTGACAGCTGCAAGAGCTGCTTTGACCTTTCCTTCATATTACTGGGACGAAGCCCAATAGCGCTCCTCCGTGGAACCATTTTCCATCTGCGTAAAAAATGTTCCATGCTCCGGAGTCGCTGGTCCTACGACTGGGCAGGTATCCAACAGGTATTTTAGCACTGTTATTGAGTCGGAGAGTGTTCCATTTCTTTGGCTGCTGGACAGTGCGGGTACCGCTTTTCATAGCAACGACTTTTAACTGCGTCTTCCTTTGCTTTAGCTGTTTCAACCGAATTGACACCATATATCTGGCAGGCACGCGGATAGCATTCATTCCGGAACCAGTCGGGTATGACACCTCTTCGCGTGTTGGATTCTCTGCGCAAAAGTTACATCTTGGCACTCCTGCTCCAGCCCGGGTAGTCGCCCAGCCATTTTGCTCTCTTGCAGAACGCAAGGTAGGAGGGCGGGACGTGAGATATCTTCTCTCCTTTGTGTTTGCCGGAAGAGAAAGGTGTATTCCGTCGAAGATAAGGTTGTAGGAACTTTAGGCATCTCTGCTAATGTAGAGTATGGTGGCGGTCAATGGTCATCCCAAGCCTGAGTTGATTTTGACCGATTTCAATCAGTCTCGCCAAGTGCGAATAAGACAAATTTTCATAATATAAGATGTTCGGGCTGACTTGGAAGTTGCATTGAAGTATGATTGCATAAAATAATATGTACAGAATTCTAATGTCTAATAACTAATCTAATGCTACACACATAATGCCCGTTATTCATCATTATACACCACCCTCCAGATATCGACAAGCATCAGCCATTTTAGACGAAACAGAAGCAATCTGCCGACAAAGTATTAGTACAAACGACGACGACAGTCCAAGAATTCTCTCACGTTAGCGGTGTTAAACGGTTGGAAGTGGTTCCCAGGTATATCGAACACCTTCACGGGAGAAGGAGTCAGCGTGTCCCAACCCGCTGTGGCATTCTTTGCTTCACTTCGATCAGAAAGCCATCTCGGAACGTCAGCAACGCCCTCGGGATTGAAGCCCTCACTGGATCGAAGGAGGACAAGAGGAGGACATACTCCATCCGTCGAACGAGGGTCGTAATCCTTAAGCATCGCAGCGTTCATAGCGAATTGCTTTTTGACAAGCTGGCCAACTTCAGACGCGCTGCTCCGAGAATCGAGTTGCACTGCGGCGTCGATCAGCGATTTCGAAAGAGGGACGTGGTTGATGGGATTGGGAGAGTCAATGAGAAGGATGCCCTTGACGACGATGCCTTGTTTCTGGAGTTGGAGAGCAGTTTCATACGCGGCGACACCACCGAACGACCACCCTGCGGAGAAAAATAAGATTATGACCAAGGCAAAGAGTAATGAGGCTTACCTCCGAGCAGGAATGGTCCCTTCGAAACCTGAGAGATGACCTTGGCGTATGCCTGCGACATTTCGACCACATTCTCCCAAGGCTGGGATGAAATAAAGTGGGGATTGTGAATCCCGTAGATTGACCGAGCCAACGGTTGAAGGCGAGAGTAATAGTTGACTAAGCCGCTACCATCATGGATTAAGAAAAGAGGAAGGGCGTCGGTACCGGGACGGTTTTGGATAGAGGAAGGGAGGGATTCGAGGCGTAGACTTTTGACAAGGTGAGACGACGCACTGGCATTGTCACCTTCCAGTTTCTTCGATGCAGAAATACTCGCCACTACCTTCTTCGCTGCCTGACGATAACGCTGCAGGTGGGCTTGAACGGCACGAACCGTATTGCACGTCGTGAAGAAGTCGCTCGGAAGGTCTAGTCCCAGTTCACTTTTCAGCGAATGAAGTGCTTCGATCGAGGTAAGCGAATCCAAACCGAGTTGTTCGAAATCAGTGTCGTCCTTGATATCGTCGACACTAATGTCCAAAACCGTGGCAAGGACACTCTTAATATCGGGCTCATCATCGACGGATAACTGGGTCGGCTCTGGGAGCTGATCGTCCGAAAAGAGCGTCGCTGGTGAAGAAGGGACACTGGTCGCGGCACGAATAGTCGGAGACGACGGGATACTCGTGGCATGCGATGGTCGGTTAGCCGTGACTTCACGAATAATGTCCCCCGTTGTTCGACAAGATGTCAGAGAATTAGCAGAAAGATTGTACTCCGAGAAGGATTGTTGGAGTCGCGCGAAGATCTCTATGGACATAAGGGAGTCGACACCAATAGCCTCGAGATCCGTGGTAGTTGAAACGGAGGAAGAGCTGACATCGCAGGTCTCAGCCACGATTGTCAACACCGTGGATTCAATATTGAGTGCATCTGGTTCGGAAGAACGGTGGTGGCGTCCAGAAGGACGACGAGTAGCTGCAGGGGCGGCAGGCTTAAGAGAAGGTTTGGGCACAGACGATTGGATAGGGTTTCCTGCAGCGCTGGCAAGGAGACGCGAAAACGCGTCGAGTTTAAGCCGACGGAACTGCATACCTTTCATACAGGCCACAACCCGAGAAGGCTCTCCTTTCTGGCACGCCCATGCCTCCGCAAGAATAGCACCCTCATTCTCCACCCACACGTTGCTGCAGTACACAACATACTCTGCATTCGTATCGACGAATTGGGGAATGACCTTGACAGAGTCGACTTCAGTGCAGATGAATGCATCATTCCGTTCACCCTGCATATTCGCCACGAAACCTGCAACATGAAGTAAAGTATCCATGAACACCGGGTGCACGACGTATGGTCCTTTGTCGTGATCACGAGGAAGGCGGACTTGCGCGCATCCTTCCATATGACTAGCGTCGATCGTTAGGGATTGCATGGTATGGTATTCCTTGGAATAGTCGACAACACGTTGGAACAATCCATCGTACACAGTCCTCGTCGAGAAAGTTTCCTGTTGCGATCCGGGCTTCGTGACCGCAGCGATGTGGCGGTTGATGGTGGGAAGGGCACGAGAGAATTTACTGAGAGTGGCAGTCTCAGACTGGAGACGGAACTCTCCATAGGCATGCGAAGTCTGCTCGTTCGAACCTTCTACTCGCGAACTGACGCTGAAAGAGCCCGAGTCTCCGGTCAAAGTGATCACCGTCACAACAATGCGCGCGACGGCCTCGTCATATACCAAACCGTGCACGAACTTGATACCCCGGAGGATCGCGCGCTTGTCATTAGACTGAGAGCCCAAATGAGCACGAGACAAATCGATCCCAGCAAATAACTGTTCCAGATACACGGAGGCAGGACACAAAGCTATGCCTGCAACCCGATGTCCCGTAATCGAGCCAGCCAGTTGACTGATAGGCGTCTCGAAAATGGAAGTAAACGCGTTTGCCGGAGACGGTTCCTGGACCCATTCATGCAAGAGGGCAGAATTGGAAATAGTCCGCTTCGCGGGAACCTCCATTCGAGAAACCTTCTCGACAGCCGTTTCTTCCTTGAAAGTGACCCAAAACTTTGACGGCGCAAAGGGATACGAGGGGAGACTGATGCACGCCACATCTGGTACATGAGAGAACGTCTCTCGCCACGACACGGACACGTTCGTCTGGTAGAGCTGAGCCAAAGTTGTCGTGAGTGTTGCCCAAGGATCCTGCTGCTTCCGGATGGAACCGAGAAGTAGAGGCGCGCCAAGAGGTGCGGTGATCGCTTTGATCATTGGGAGGCATGTGGTGTGGGGACCAATTTCCAACCACGCGTCAATTTTGGAGCACTCGGGTAGAGCCGTCAACGCGTGAATACCACGATCAAATTGGACTGGCTCGGCGCAATGTCTGGAGAAATACTGGGAGTCGAAGATGGACGCGTCGCCAGGGTGCACAACATCGCCATGCACATTGGAGATGATAGGGATCGTTGGAGCTCTGAGAGTCACGTTCAGGGCGACGGCATCGAGTTCTTCAAGGATAGGCGCCATCGCAATGCTGTGAAACCCGAACGGAACGGTAAGAAGAACATTCTTGCAATGGACCACTGTATCCAAGTGCTCTTTCAATGCGCGCAGCTGCTCCAATGGACCGGACACGACACAATCAACCGGACTGTTGAAACAGGCAATGCTCAACTTATCGAAAGTGACCGTTTTCAAAATGTCCTGAAGCAACGATTGCGCCAGGTTGACGGCAATCATGCTGGTTGACGAGACGACACATTTCGTCACCATAAGACGCACACGATGAGCAATGATGGTAAGGGCACCCCGCAACGATAGGACATTGGCAATGACGAGCGCTGCATATTCTCCCAGACTGTACGGCATTAGCATCGTCAAACATTCAGATGGAATACAACATACCTGTGGCCAACCACAGCTATCGGTTTCACGCCCCATGACATCCACAATTTGGCAAGAGCATACTCCAATGCGAAAATGGCCGCTTGATATGCTTCAAATTCCTGGGTCTCCGTTAGACCCGTGCCGTTGGGTCCAGGAGCAATGATAGGCAATACACCACAGAACCCAGATGCGGTAAGGAATGAATGACATTCATCGATGTGAGATTTAAAGATCGGGGATGATGCATAAAGGCCACGCCCCATCTCCAGGTACTGAGCACCTTGCCCAGAGAACACGAAAACGACTTTTCCTTCTTGGCTGGGAGACTGGACAAACTTTGCTTTCTGCAATTTCTCAATAAGTTCGTCCTTAGTAGAGGCAGCCACCGCCGTACGATGCTCATAGAGCTGACGACGACTAGTAGACGTGTACGCAATATCCGCTAGCCGCACGTCGGCGCTCTCTGAACTCTGGAGCCACCTGATATATTTCGTCCGGAGTTGCTCCAGGGCAGTGTCCGTCTTTGCAGACAGACCGAAAACAAGAGGAATAACTTCAGTTTGAACAAGCGAAGGACGAACGAACTCTTCCACTAAGGTAGCAGTGTTCGAACCAGCAGCACCAAAGTTATTCAAGAGCGCCATCCTCGTCTGACCGTCATGAGAAGGGTCCCAAGTGGTATGGACTCTGTCGATGATCGTGTTGTCCGCATCTAAAGGGGCAATGCGCGGGTTGAGATCATGAAGGGAGATGAGACGGGGAATGGTGCGGTGCGCCATCATGAGAAGTATTTTCGCGAGCCCTGCGGCGCCAGAAGCCGCCTCCAAATGCCCAATGTTTGCCTTCACTGACGTGATATGCAAAGGATTCTTGGGACCGCGCTTTTGAGCAAATATACCACGGATACTCTCAAGTTCATTCGGATCTCCAGCTTGAGTTCCAGTTCCATGAGCTTCGACAAGATTGATTCGGCTTGCGTCAATGCCTGTGTTCTCTAACAGCCGTTTGAAGAGAGCAATCTGGGTGGGAGCGTGAGGATGGGTAATCGAGTGAGCCAAACCACTCTGGTTGACCTCGACGCCTCGGATGACACCCCAAATGTTGTCGTTCTCGGCAATAGCGTCAGAAAGACGCTTCAAGACGAATATTCCACAACCTTCACTTCGGGAATATCCATCGGCAGATGCATCGAATGCTTTGCACTGTCCAGTCGGACTCAGGAAATGACCGCGGTCGAGTCCCAAGAACATCTAGAAAGACGGAATGTGAGTCAGAGTATAGAACTAAGATGAAATGACTGACGTCTGGACTGGCGATCACATTGACACCGCCAACGATCGCAGCATTACAGTCACCATTCATGAGAGCGCGCGCTCCTTGATATACGGCGACACCGGATGATGAGCATGCGGTATCTACAACGATAGAGGGACCGCTGAGCTGCATTGAATATGACAGGCGTCCGCTCAAGAACGCTTTCAAAGTGCCTAGTCATGCATAAGCAAAAGAGGCCGCAGAAAGTGAGAACGTGTGAGAGCTTACCGGTGCTATAGTATACGTCAATATCGTCACGTAGATTTTGCAAATAATCGTGGGTAGCTACACCGATGTAGCATCCGAAGGTGTCCGGATTGAATGAGGGAGTCGCATTTGGAACATAGCCGGCATCTTCTAGGGCCTCGTAAGTGGTGTGAAGGAGAACCCGCTGCTGAGGATCCATGCTCTTTGCCTCCCTAGGACTGATCTTGAAGAAGCGGTTATCGAATTCATTGGCACCTTCGATGAAGTTACCGGTGTGTGCCTTCATTTGCCGTTTCGGGTTCTTAGCTTCATTGTAATCGGAAACTTTGAAGCGGTTCTCAGGAATCTTAAGGAATCATCCAGATGTAAGCAAGTAACGAATAAAATGGAAACAAAGTTTAAGTACCTCACTGATCGTGTTAATACCTTGCTCCAACACTTCCCAGAGCTTAGAGACGTTGGGAGCTCCCGGCATATTGACGGCCATCCCGACGATAGCGATAGCTTCCTGCTTTCCTTTCGATTGATAGAGGCCCTTCGCGTCCAATGTCGTAAGGTCGAGCAGTTTTACGCGCTCTTTGCGTAAGGCCCTTTCAAGACCGCGACAGAGACCTGTTCCAGGCCCGACGTTAAGCAGGTGCACAGACGCATCATTGGGAAGGTCCTTGAGAACACCTAAAGTCACCAAGTCCCAGTTGACAGGTTGGGAAAGAACCATATCCACAACGAGCTCAACAAGTGACCCAATCACATCCTTCTTCAACGCCTTGCCGGTGAACGTAGAGCGGAAGGGAACATGGATATCCGTCATTTGCGGGAATTGAATGCCCCTCCGAACGACGTCGGCGAGGATCTCCTCCCGGGCCCCCGCCACATGAAGTGGCGCATGGTACAAGGTGTCGAGCGTTGTCTTATGTACAACGATACTAGCTGCTGACGAGTGTGCTGTAACATGCTCAGAAAACGTAGAGAGTGTATCAGGGCGACCTGATATGGTAACAGAATTAGCATCCATCGTTGCTGTGACGTAAAGAGGGGATGGTTCAGCAATAGTCTGGCAAATGATCAGTAATGGAAATGAAAAACGGCGCGAAGGATCTGACCTTTGAGAAGTCTGAAATAGCAACCTCTGCATCTTGTTTGTTCAATCCTAGGAATACAAGACTCCAAGGAGAAGAGTGGACGGCTTCAGGCAGCGAGCCTGAAAGTGTCGTGGCGCGGAAAATCTGCGCGCGAACACCAATCCATATAGCCAGACGATATGCCTCCACGGCTCTAGAGAGGAAAGAGACGCTGGAAAACGAGGTAGCGACAACAGCCGCGGGCAATATGCCTGATGAAAATCCGAGAATGCCGACACCGTGTACAGAGTTGGATTTCAAAACGTCACTGAACGGGGTGAGAGACCCGTTGGAAGTAACTAATGCGTCGATGTACGCCAGGTAGCGCAGGGTCTGTAGGAGGAAGAGGGTGGTCCCAGAAATGACTGCATTATGGATATACCGTTCGGAGGGTAATGCAAGGATGGACTCTTTGGTGAGGAAGTCTGAGAGGTCAATGTCGACTTGGGAGAACTCTGTGGAAGAGAGCGACTTCAATTCTGCCTGGAATGCTGCATGGCATGCAGCAAGGAGAAGAGAGCCTGAAGGAGAAGAAGCGTCGACGAGTGCCTGCTGGCGGACCTGGGGCGAGTTGGCAGCTGCAGTGCCTTGGCCACCAAAGACAGGAACGTCAATAGAAAAGGTGGTGGAGGCCATGTCTAAGGGCGCAATAGTAAAGGTTCCAGAAGCGAGGACATAAGCTCTTTATTAGCTGAAGATTTAAAAAAGGAAACGAGGCGAGGGGATGCATGCAAGTCCGAATGAAGGCTCGAATCACCGAGTTGGGATGTTTACACATAGACAGCCATCAGAGTGGGGCTATATCAGTGTAACCTCGCCCTGATCCGTCTTGCTGAAAATGTCCGTACCTCTTCCTCCGTCTGTCGCCTGCGAGATATGTAGACAACAATCCTTGGCCTTCAGCGATTAAACTAGGGAATTATCGTGCCAGAATGGGTCCCTTCCTTCAGATTTTGCGCGGCTCTGTGCGTCGGAATTCGAACCCCACAAAAATCTCCGACCGTACCTAGATGCATATAAGTACTCATCCGTGAACAACGCATTTGAAACGTACTGGAGATGTCATAGAGACAAAAAACGCGCTCGGCAGAGGCAAAATGTGTAATTTTCATGAAGGTCGTCGTTGAGACTCGAGAGAACGCGTCTTCTCTGTAAATTCCCACGCCCTGTCAAAATTAGTGTTGCCTTTTCCGTGCATCTGTCGATCCTTCATCATCAAGCAATGCCTCTACCAGAGAGCCCGACCCGTCGATTCTTCTGACAGGCTATGCATGCCGGTGGTAAATTTTGCGATACCAACACTGAAAATACTCCAAGTTTGATGTCATTTAATACCTGATACCAGCATTACCCGCCCTTGGCAATCGACTCGTACGACTGCAGTGCTACCCCGGCCCTGTAGTCGCATGTATATTGGCGCGCGAATGCGGGGGTGGATATGATGTTTTGATTCGTCACAGCCTTGAACCCTGGATTGGTATACCCACTGCGATGTCCTTTTCGTCCCTTGTGGGTAAGCGAACTAGTCGTTTCATCAAACGGGCTTTCATCAGAGTCGGAATTGACCACGACTGACGCAATACCTTGGCGTCGATTGTTACACTGAACTGACTGAAGCACTTCTGGCTCCCTGGTGTGTGTACAAGGACCTGGTCTAGTCAGGTTTTGTCCTACTCTTGTAGATGCCACACACTGCTATCAGTACACTTGCTTCGATTTCAACGGTAGTCAGACTCTTGCGCCAAAAGTTTATCATGCTGCAAGATGCCGATGAGTAAGGAGGTAACTGTCCGTTCTTCATGCGCATTCGAAATTCAAAAGCCGTTCCTCCAACAAGGGACTTTATCGTCTTGGCGTCATAGAAAGGGTGACAAGGTTTCTGGACTCTATACGTTGTACCGCCGATTTATCCTCAGAGGTTTTCCGACAAATGAGACAATCTATCCAAGTGAGCTTTCTACCAAGTTAAACACTTTAACGCCCCACCTCGCTCACCGGCTTTGATCGAAACAATCAATAAGCCTCCCAATGGACTCCAAGTTGATCTTGCCTTATGGGCCAGAGCCAAGAATATTTTTTGAGTGTCTAATCCCCCCTGCTCTCTAATGTCGGCGATCTGATTGAGCAGAAATAAATAAACGTGTACGAAAGTATACGGACGGAATGCCACCTTCCGACGGCGCATGAAAGGAAAGCCGACCTTTTTTTCTAAAAAAAAAGGCACGATTGCTTAAGGCCTAGACTGGAGGCTGATCTCCGGCCTTCCCGAGAGAAGTGTGCTCGTACTCGCAGATCATACAGTACTTCTTTTATCATCATTACCTCCAAGCTGTACGCGGTAAGCGCCATGATAATTCGTATCAGCGGCATTTTGCCATGTCAAGTGCTTCGGGATCTAGGTGAGCATCGCACTTTTCACACAGCATGGTTCAAACGTTTCTTTTACTCAATCGAGTACGTAGGGTCGCGCCTCATGCGAAAGAGTCGTTGTCATCATGCAATACATATAGTTATTTGTCTTCCACTGCGGGACCGCAACAATCTCGGGTTCTCTGCATTCTCCCAACCTAACAGCACGCACACTGCCATTGAACGTTGACAAATCGCAAAAACCACCTATTTTTACACAATGAGATCCTCGAAAACCGTTGGCGGCTCGCAAGGCGGTATTCTTGGCAGTCCGCGATCGCAGGAGGAATACATGATCGTCGCACCAAAGATATCAGAATGGCAGGCAGCGGGAATCTATCTAGGGGCTAAGGAGACAGCAACAACGATCTAGATGATTATCGAAGCCTAATTCAGTTGTTTTCAAGATGCTACTCTGCGCTAAACATATCCCACCAGCGATATATAGCAAGCACCGAGATATTGAAAAGATTCCTATTGCCAACAATATATCCCATATGTGCCTATCAGGTCGTAGCGACCTTGAAAATACCTGTTACTTCTTGAACTGTATAGGCAACTCGCTGCATTGGATACCCATCTTTCTAGCCCTCCTCTAGAGCGAGTCGCCGTTGCCGCGTTATGGGAAAAATATTCAAAACTAAGTATCTCTTGGTAGATGCCGTCGTGCCACCTTTGCCGACGGCTAGCCTTTGAGTCTTTTTTTTTTTGATAATTGAATTAGATGTATCCATGTGTGCTAATCAGGGCTTTGCACGGTACGCCATAAAGTTACCTGCTCGTGGTATGATCTGCAACTGCCCCAAGAAAATGTATTTTCTTCCTTCCAAAGTAACTTCCCTGTTGTACGTTTAATTGTGAACTCAGTGGTATGATTGTACCTCTAGCTTTGATCAGGAGATGATTACAGAAGCTTCAGTGTCGTCCTGAACTTCTCATCTTTCAATCTAAGGGTCAGCTTCGTCGTTCTGATCGGCAAAATAGGACGCAGGGTAAACAGCTTCGATCCCGCGAGTAAACGCTCCTCTCACACCATTTAAGCATCCTTCACCACAACTATGCTCCAACCACATGGGCCCAGAAACCCGGAGCCGTGTTAAGGAAATTATGTTGGCCTGACAAAAGGAAGGGGAGAGGGGGGGAACAGAATGACACGACATGTGGCGTGGTAAGAGCTATTTTTCTGCCGAACATACAGGATCATTGGTTTGCACCACTGGCTTTTGAAATCCCAAACATCTCATTGGTGGACGCCCGCTCCTTTGCGCAGTCCGCTTGGAGGCTTGGTACGAACACGTGATGTGTGGCGACGTTTGATATGCCACGTGGATTGGCATTCCGAGATCGCCGAATGTCAAAGAATTGGACAACGGAAGGTTCATCATAGTATTCTTAGCCGATACGCAATATCTACGACTGCTTCTCCCGCTTCCTTGATGCCCTTGGATGCGATTACGGAAGCCGGCAACGAAAGCCGTAGTAAGCAGGGGTTGTGACTTGCCAATTGCACAGGCTCTTATAAAGGCCATGGCCCTTTTCTCCAACCCTCACTCTCGCCTCTGCACGAGATGCGTGGTCCTACTAGCAGCCTGTCTCTCCTCAGCGCGATCTTCCCGCTCCTTGCCCGTGCAGCCGTCTCCGACACGAGCACGACCTTTGCCGCTTCTAATGGCGCTCCCATAGCCCAGCCGTATGCATGGTCGCGGGCAGGGCCCACTGGTCCTCTGTTACTGCAAGGTAAGTACCCTGATCATCGTTGCGTCTCCCTAAGCCTACCAAATACTTGTCGCCAGATTTCGCCTCCATCGATCTGCTCGCACATTTTGCCCGCGAACGCATTCCAGAGCGTGTCGTGAGTTCACCTGTATAACATTGTATTTCAGTAATTTTGACCCGGTACTAGGTTCACGCTAAGGGTGCCGGTGCGCACGGGTACTTCGAGGTAACGCAGGACATGAGCAACATTACGTCGAGCAAGTTTCTGTCAACCCCCGGAACGCGAGCCAACGTCACAGTAAGGTTCTCCACTGTCGGCGGTGAACTCGGCAGTGCAGACACTGCGCGCGATCCCCGTGGTTTTTCCACCAAGATCCGGACTGACGAAGGCAATTGGGATTGGGTATTCAATGATACACCGGTCTTCTTCATCAGGGATGGCGCCAAGTTCCCTCATTTCATTCACACACAGAAACGGAATCCTCAAACACATCTGAAAGATGCTGATATGTTTTGGGTGCGCTGTTTCGTTCCAACATTGCTCCTGTTTTGACACAAGATCAGGATTACCTGTCTCTAAACCCCGAATCTCTTAACCAGGTCATGTATTTGTTTTCTGACCGTGGAACTCCGGATGGCTTCCACAATATGCATGGATATTCGGGCCATACCTATAAGTGGACAAAGTCGGATGGTACTTTCTACTATGTAAAGACAACAGTCCTCAGGGACACCGGATTTAAGGTGAAAGCAGTGCACCAGATAAGAGATTTCGCCTTTCGAAACTTACATTCATTTGTAGACCCTCGACAGAGTTACTGCGGTGACGTTAGCCGGGACTAATCCTGATTACGGTACTCAGGCACTCTTCGAGGCAATTGAAGCTGGTGACTATCCCACATATACTGTATACATTGTAAGAACTCTATTCTATACCTTTCCTGGCCTCATTCAAATCTTCTCAGCAAACCATGACTCCCGAACAGGCCGAGGGATTCCGTTACAACATCCTCGATCTGACCAAGGTTTGGCCGCAGAACATATATCCTCTCCAGGAAATCGGAAAGCTAGTTCTCAATCAAAATCCCGAGAACTACTTCGCAGAGATCGAACAGGTACTATGCTCCATTTTCTCCGCAGTATGGCCGTTCGGGTTCTGACTATTCCCAGCTTTCCTTTGCACCGTCGAATATGATCCCATACATTGAACCGTCTGCAGACCCGGTCCTTCAGGCACGTTTGTTTTCGTATCCAGACACAGCACGACATCGCCTTGGTCCGAACTTCAACCAGCTCCCGATCAACTGTCCGCTTTTTTATCCGGCAAACTTTCAGCGAGATGGACGGGGAACGATCTTCAACCAAGGCAGCCGACCTAATTACCAAAGCAGCATAGAGCCCTTGACGTACCAGGAAAACCCCGGGTGGATCTATGGAGAAGGCTGCTCGGGAGGAGGTGCCTGCGATTATGAACGGAGACGAAATCACGAGAATTTCATTGGCGCGGCGTACCGTGATCTCAGTCAATTCACCGAACGTAAGTGTTTCGTTATCTGGTATCTCCTTCGAAGTGGCCTCATGTCTTCTCGTTTCTGTTAATAGTCGATTTGGAGCAGCCACGGGGCCTTTGGGCCTACATCTGGAACGATACCCAACGCGCTGCTGCTGTTGGGAACCTCGCTTCGCACATGGTCAACATTAACAACGTCACGATAGCGAACAGACAACGTTCGTGTGCTATTTCCACTATCTTTCCCATCATCTTGACGTTGACGCTCCGCTAGTTTCTATTTTCACAGCCGTGAACAAGACTTTTGGAGATGTGAGTGTCTTTGTCGCGAAGAATTTGATGCACTCATCATTTGGTCTTGTGTAGAGCGTCGCCGCTGCCCTTGGCCTTCCTCCCGTGGACCCTATGGTAGTCATGAACATTTCCGAAGCAGTAAAATTCAGAACCTATATTGGGTATTCTGTTAACATAACGGCAATAGAGGGGAACTCTACCCTCCAGGAGATATCATATGACGACTATTACAGGGATTGACGGAGACGCCTTTTGGGACTTTTAAAACATGCTTTGCGTTATAAGTAGGGGCATTTGGATTGTCAGAGACAGTAAGTAAGACGTTATGTATGACTAGTATTCCACCCGGACCGGTAGGGCCGGGTTTCGGCGTTCTCCCTTTAGGGCTTCTCGGACAATGTTATAGTTTTGTAGCTCTTTCTAGCCAGCCACTCAATATACGCTGCTACCGCCATTAAGCCGTTCAGAATGCACATCGACTTGTCAACTGGGATAAGTCTTGAGGCGGAACTGACATCTCCGTCAGATGCCGACCGGAATCACGGCGATGGTGGAAGCAATCTGGCGATATTCCTCCATCCATGGTCATGGTTGGGAGGCCGTATGCAAGACCCGTATGTTTCTTTTCATATCAAAAACAAAGGTTGGACTGACTTCCTTAGGAAGAGTGGTATCCTTACTGATGGACATCTTTGAAGCGCACAAGTCTCATTACTATCTTCTGCGGTACAACTCTCGAGGAGTCGGCAAGTCTTCAGGCTGGCCTTCATTGACCGGTCTGAGCGAGGGAGAAGATCTCCGGGCGCTCGTACAATGGGCGCTTGGAACTCTGGGGAACATTAGATCTCTCGTCATTGTGGTATGCATGAGTCTCATCTGCGTTTCTTAAGAGTTGAAATTCACCACAGGGCTACTCTCATGGCTCGCTCATCGCATCCCTGCATTCGACACTACCCTCAAAGTCAATAAAAGTCTCTCACATTCTTTTATCTTATCCACTCGGGCCAAGAGGGTGGCTGACAGCTTTCCATTCGAACACATACGATACAGCCTTGAGGAATCTCCTCTCCAGTCCAGACGCTCATGTACTCGTCGTATTCGGGGATCAAGATGACTTTACCGGCGTCTCAAAGTACGAGCGTTGGACCGAGGAATTGCGAAGGTTAGCTGGAACCGATGCCCAGCGATTAGAGATTGTTCGCGTCGATGGTGCCTCACATTTTTGGAGAGGCCAGGACGAACAGGTACTTGCTGCTGCGGTGGAACGATGGTTGCAAGGATGACAGATCTGTAAGGCGGCACCACTGCCACAATTCACAAGTGCATTCTTTTATTATCCACTTTGAATTGTCCGAGATCTTTTTCTTCCGTAGCACTGGCATAGGTAACGAAATGCAAAGCTGGAGCTGGTTTTGATTATTTGTTGTGCATCAAATGATCAGGGCTAGACTGATAACTGAGATACCGATGATTGCATCATTTGAAAACCCGACTTTCAGTACTTTGAACGAATTGGAGCAGTGGGGTTCACTTTCTGTTTCATAATTGAGCAAAACCTATATCGTTGTGATATTCTACATTTCCAGAATGCACAGATATATGTATATTCCCGCACAAAACGTGAACTGAGTGTGTCGTTATAACTACCGGCAGCGACGGCGACGTTGCGGACAAACCCGAGCCAACTCGATCAGTCGCGAAGCGACGTCGTTACGACCAACTCCATTCGTATACCATCAGTTCTCTTTTGTTCTTCTTTCCTGAACGTCACGACCTTTTCCTTTTGACCGTCTCTGTGTTCTCCAGGACTCTCGAAGGGTTTTTATTTTATTTTATTCAGGTCGTGCACCTCCAGTCGGCTTCAGTCCGTCCACTCATTATTCGTCGCTCTTTCCACCCAATCCGACGCCGACGTCGAAATCTCTTTTATCATGCCAGCAATCGTCATTCGAGATGAAAACTCTGAGGCGATGTCGAGTTCGTCTTCCCTTCGCCCAATTTACATTGCTGGATTTGTTCTAGTGGGTGTTCTACTGCTCGGTGTGGCACTCTGGCTTGCCATTAGAAGATATCGGCGATGGGCCCAAGCAAAGAGGGAAGGAAATCTTGGTGCCGCGTTCTTATCTGTCAAAGGACTCGTCAGAGACGGCAACGTCCACACCGAAAAGGCCCCCCTTCCCGAGTTCGTCTCCGATTCCTTCGCTTTTATTGAAATTATGCTTATTCCCGATTAGAAACCTACAAGCCATCCAGGGTTCTACGTTCTCTCGCGAGCAGCTCACTCGTTCTGTGATCCTACCAGATAAAGTGTTGATACCCAACCGTCCTGCTCCAGTGCAGGAGACCCCTCAAGATATCCTTGAATTCCACCGACAGTCGGGAAATTTCCCGCGTCCTTTCTCCCCTAAGCCCTTTGCGTTTGCTTTGACAGCTGCAGCCCCCAATCCCCGCGGCTCTATTGTCCAATTAAACCGTTCATCAATGATCCGAAATTCCTTCATGAGCACTGCTAGCACAGTCAGCCGCTTTTCGGTTATATCTTCCAGCTCTTCAGTCGATTCATCCCCCACCACCGGTACGAATCGTAAAGTTCGCCAGCTGTTCAACCCCATTCTCCCCGACGAGCTCGTTACTACTCTCGGTGAGCGTCTCACAGTCGTCCAGTCGTTCGATGACGGTTGGTGTGTCGTTGGGAGAGAGAGCACGTCGAATTTCAACAACGCTAAATCTCTTTTCAAATCACCGAGTGCTCAAGCGGAGCCTAACGTGGAGCTTGGTGTTGTCCCAGCGTGGTGCTTCCTAAAGCCCGTCAAAGGCCTGAGAGCTGAGCGACCCGTCCGAAGCACCAGCCTTGGAATAACCGTACAGATGGAGGGTCCAGCGTTCTCTTCTAGAGAAGAGATCATCTCTTGGTCCAATTTCTAGGTTCCATCATATTTATTTATCCTTAATCCAACTTGAAGTACGTACCTTGTCTCTTCAGATTAAGTTGCCTTTTCCGATTGTTTCAAACTTGCTACTCATTCCCAGCGCACAACCTCTCTTGCTGGTATCGAAGCGGTTGTACTCGTACATACCCACCATTTGTTGAAATTGTTACCCACTTGGTATTTCTTATCCTTCCCATTCTGCCAGTGGCAGTTGATTACTTCGCTCGATAGTTTTTGTGTACATTTTGTGTTGTAGCTGTGTAGTGGTCCCTTGAGCACGGGAGTTCACCCATATCATTCGCGCACATGGAGCGGAGGATTCAATCAGTACATGTCACAAAGTACGGTACCCGCCAATGTATGCATTGGAAGTATCGAAGTTGCGTAGAGCGAGATAAATTGTAGTTTGAATCTGAGACCCAAGGTACCAATGTCCGGTAATTGCCGCCTTGATGGGTTGACAAGTTGCTTGGATGTTCTAGCTATAGTGTGCACGCCAACCTTCAAAATATAGCCCACGAAAGCCCCCCGCCGGCATTGGTTCTTCTGAACTTCGGATGGCTTCTGGTAGTTGATCATGTCTTCTCGGAAATAGCATCTATTAGCCCCCACACCAACCCAGTACCAGCTCCAAAAAAATCTCGCTCAGTACTCCGAGTCCGAGTCGGCCTTGATGAATAACGCTCAGTATGAGCCACTGTGAAAGACCGCATCTCGGACTCTCAGTGGGAACGGGGGAACACTGGATAGTCCGGGCCTGAGACACGTCCGACGTTGCGATCAACCTCGAGTAACGGTTCTGCTCAAACCTGGCTTGAAGGTGTTTTGTAGGCCATTCTTGCTTCACAAGGCCAAAACGTACTAATTCATTTTAAATTTTTACCTCTGCGACCCAATGAAATCTTTCGGCGATTATATGGGGCATCTCGACCGAAGCTGGCAGGCATCGACACACACCAATCGCAAAATATTTGGCTCCAAGGATCGCAAAGTACAGAAGGTGTTTACTGACACGTCTTCTTCCACACTAACGGAGTACCTGATCTCCGAGTCTTGGCTATTTTAATGATCCACAGCCCATTAACCACGGCTATCGTTCTTGAGACATTTTTGCGGTACCCCTACGAACAAGTTATTTATGATTCCCTAACGACCGTCTATTCTTCACGGTGGGCATAAATCATCGCTGTCATTATCTTTATGATGTCGATGACGGATCTTGGGGGGGTTAGCTAGACCTGGGCCAATTTCAGGAGGACTCGTTACGATGGAGGTGACTTTTGGCAGTCCTAGAAGAGGATATGACGCTTTTGGGCACCATAGGAAGTAAGATACTCATCCTTTATCGATGGAAACCGTCTACGGTACAATTCCAAGCCTACAAGCATAATTCTGTTTCGAGAACACAACAGTTTTTATCTACAAGTAATCACATTCTAATCATTGCCTGGATAAATTATCTTTAGGAAGCATCATCAGGAAAATATTCATCTAGGAAGAACGTATCAGCTCTGAAATGTGAAGAACGCAAGATAAAATGATATAAAATCCGAATCCGAACTGTCTTGATGAAGACTGAAGGTAAGCCGTTTGGGAATCATGGTCATCATGTTATTCAAGTCATTGATACAGTTACGTTTACAGAATGATTATGAATGTTCTTACACTTGTTGAAGCAGGGAATGAGTGATACATAGCTAATAAGAAAGAGTTTCCACGATGGCATCGAAAACCCGGAGCGCATCAGGGATATGAAACTTCTCGTACTGAAGTGCCACAGGAGTGCTGTTCGTGTAACGACATGAGCACTTGAAATGAAAGATCAGAGGATGTTACTCACTCCCATCCTGTTACTCGTTTGATGGGCGCGTCGAGCTTTAAGAAGCATCGTTGCTGTACTTGCGCACAGATTTCAGCACCTACACCTCCCGTCATCCCGGCTTCATGCACAACTATCAACCTCCCTGTACGATTCACGCTCTCAACCACTGTCTCAACGTCCCAGGGGAGTATTGTCCGCAGATCAATGAGCTCCACCTGAGCTTTCCGCAGTGCGACAGGAACATGCTTCTCCATCTCTGGCGTTGGCGATGCAAGCATATGAATGGCGGCCTCGCAGTGATACACTGGCGTACCCCATGTCAACAATGTCAAATCGGAACCGGGAATAACCGTTTCAGCGCGTCCAACGGGAAGCGTGAAGTCATCCGTAGGCACTTGCTCGATGGCAGAACGATAGAGGATCTTAGGCTCCATGAAAATGACAGGATTAGGGTCGCGGATAGCACTGAGAAGAAGACCTTTGGCTTGGATGGGAGAGCGAGGGATGATGAGTTTGAGGCCAGCAGCACCCATAAAGAAGCCTTCGGGAGACTGAGAATGGTAGAGTCCCCCATGGCCAACGGCCATAGTAGGTACACGGACAGTGAGCCCACCTACATTATACGACCCACCAGAACGATAGCGGATCTTGGCTGCCTCGTTCACAAGCTGGTCAAATGCAGGGTAAATGTAGTCCGCAAACTGGATCTCTGCGATGGCGGTGTGCCCCATCAGCGCCATGCCTATACCGAAGCCGACGATGCCTTGTTCGGTCAAGGGGGTATTGAAGACTCGTTCACGACCAAATTCCTCTGCTAGACCCTGAAGACCTCAATGGAAATGGGTAAGGAGATCTAGCGCTGTCGCAAGTAACTTACCATTGTGCACCTGAACACACCACCGAAAGCGACGTCTTCACCGAATACGACGGCGTGGTCGTCCTTTGACATGGCTACACTGCATGCCGGTCAGTAGAGGCTCTCTACAGAACAAGACTCTCGTACCTCATCGCGTCCCGGACAGCCTGGTATAAATTCATTTTGCGCGTTTCTCTGCCACCGATGATGTTCTGCAAAGGTCCAGAATCATCTTCGTCGGTCCACATGAGCCCAGGGGTACGAATTGCTAAATCTCGCGTAGGCCGGAGCAGCGAGGATGTGGCTATTGAAGGTAGATGCCCGCCAGCAGGAGGGGGTTCCACTGCAGCTTCAGTAGAGTAACGGCGACAGAATTGTCTATGTTGCAATACACAGCGAGCTAAGGCATTGACCCTGGAGTTGGTAAGCATGAGAGATGACGAGGGCGAGAATGAAGAAGATCCGGTATCGTCATCAGGCGTGATAGCAATTAGTATTTGATCGACTTTGGCCGGAGACTACCGTGTCCTCCAGCTTCTCGTCATTGTCGTTGTCGATGGAGAGCGAATCGACCTTCGTCGCTCCCGAGGGTGTATATTCCATCATCGAGGAACACAAGCCTTTCTTCCTCACTCATGTTAATACCCCGTCTTCTCCTTTTCCCACGCGCGTATCTACCATTGTCGTCCGTTATCCTCCTGCCAAGCATAATGGCAATGGGCCCGGATTTGCTCAGCTACTCAGTGTTGGGAACAAGGACAGGGACATGAGGAACGTGAAGAACAAGGGCCGAGAGGACGGTCATAGCCAATCGAGTAGCGACACTGGGGACGACGATGGATCGCCTCCACCGGGAGGCGCCGACTTGTCAGTGAGCTCGACGATACCTCACGAACACCATGCCCTGTTCTCCCACTCTGGCCCAGCAAAGAAGAAGCACGTTGGGAGGCCAAAGCATAATGTCCGGACTACCTCCTCGACATTTATTACCCGTGCAGAGGTTCCCAAAGCGCTACAGGCAAAGCAGGGCGACACGGTATTTCTCTTCTATAATACCGGAAAGAGCTTTCTGTGGGTGGAGACTGGATCCAAGAGCAAGGTGTGTGGCTGCCTGCCATTTATCTGTCCTGCATTTCATTAACGTTATATTTCTCTAGGAACCACTGGCGAGAGTAACGTTCTCCGCCTTTCCCACTTGTCATGATGTGAACACTTTGACAGCTTCTCCCGAGTGTCTCGACGTGATTATTGGCTTTAGCACCGGGGACCTCATATGGTTGGGTGAATTATCCATACGTCTCTGTCAGCTGTATATTAATTACCATTACCTAGATCCCATTTCGTCCAGATATTCTCGTCTTAATAAACAGGTATTTTTGGTCGAATCAGGGTCTTTCGATGCATTTACCTTCATTTCACAGGGTTGTATATCAAACTCCCCTTGTACCGCCGTCCGATGGGTACCATCTTCATCTACGTTATTCCTCGCATCACATGCAGATGGCACAATTGTCGTTTACGACAGGGAACGGGACGATGGGACTTTCAAGCCCCAAGAGCCTATAGCCCAGAGCGGTTCCTCGGGATCGGGGTCACTCCCTTCGTCGGACGATAGCACTTCTCAGAAAGATTGGGATCCTATGGATAACATCTTTGTGACCATCCCACCCTGGCATCCAGTGACCGGGGGAGCCGGGTTGAAAAACGAGAGGGAGAGGGAGAAGGCAGTCAAGAACCCTGTGAGCCATTGGAAGATATCCAAAAAGAGCGTCGTGGGTATGTCGTCGATTTTCTATTCAAAATTTCCTCTGATCATTCCACGTAGACTTTACTTTCTCTCCTGACGTCAAGTACGTGGGTGCCATCTCAGAAGATGGGTGTTTGAGGGTAATCGACGCATTGGCTGAACAGTAAGTCAGAAATATTTGATGAATCGACGAGGAATCATTCTTGTCAGACTAGTTGACTGTTATGCGTCATATTTTGGTGCGCTAACATGCGTTGCATGGTCTCCAGACGGCAAGTTCATTTTGGTAAGTGTTGAGTTTAGTTCGAACAGTCGGGATCTCATTCTACAGCAGACGGGGGGTCAAGATGACCTGTTAACAATATTCTCACCTTGGGAACAACGTGTAATCGCGCGATGTCAAGGTCATTCGTCATTTGTAACCGCTGTTGCCTTCGACGAGCTGCGTTGTGACGGACGGACATACCGGTTCGGCAGTGTGGGCGAAGACAACAAACTCATCTTGTGGGATTTTTCGAGTGGCGCCCTCCACCGGCCTAAATTCCAGGCAACCCATCATCAGCGGGTATCAATGTCATCTACTATTTCGCTTGCTTTTAAACGCGATAGATCCGCGTTGTATCTACCCTCGCCTACTACTGAGGATAAACCCTATCCCCGTTACCATCCCGCCCCGTCACGGAATGAGATCGCTGTCGTACAGCCTGTATTGGTTTGTGGGTCTGTTTCTGGCATTATCCTTGTCCTGACGTTCACTGCTAGGTGAAGCACGTCGAAGGGGAGCTATTGGCAGACGTGGCATTTCTTCCGAGATCCTTAATGACGGCAACGAAAATTGGTCACGTCAAGCTTTGGATCCGGCCACTTGCACTGCGACCACGGCATTTAAAGCCTCACCGCACACGTACAATATCTATCGATGTGGATCAAGCTTAAGATCCAGTGTACCAATGCTAACTTATTTCTATGTTGGTTGGAAATTGTTGAAAGGAATCTTATGTGCCTCATGATGGATAGAGCAAGGGGATACAAGATGAACTTTTATTGCTGCAGCTCGACCATCCACCGCGTAACATACTCCGCATCCAACAAAGCTGCTTCCCAGCACATGAGGAATCTTCGCTCTCTCCACATTTCCAAACCATACTGCCCTATGAACGCGATCCTCTTGGCTCTGTCTTCTACTAATCTCTCTGACGAGCTGCCGAGCATCTTTGAATATCGCTCTGAGATATTGACAACAGACTTGATTCTAGCTGGTGCGCAAATAGAGAGGATACCAGTGAGAGACACGAGGAGCGGCGTGGAAGCACGCAAGGGAAAGGAGCATAGAATGAATTCCTTGCTCATCCAAGCTATCTGCGGCGAGATGGTCGTAAACTCGATTGTCGCCACGCTTCCGGCGGTGAGAGACTTGATGAACGAAGTGATTGATGCTTCAATTCGAGAGCGAGGGATTACGTCGAGAAGGAGCGTTGAGGGATTGTCGGATAACGAGAGCAGAGGAGCTTCGTTTCCAAGTTCAAGTCAAAACGAGCGCATATAGCCGGAGACTAGTCACCTTTCGACTCCTGTAGCCTATTAGCATACTCAACCAAACCAGAATTGATGATGCCTACCACTGAACAGAGAAAGTGTCCCTTCAAAAGCCACGCCATCGTCTTGGTCGACCATTCCGGTTCAACGTCCAGTGCAATCCTCCATCCGTGCACCTTCAAGCGTTCAAGAAACATGTCCGACAAGTCTTCCCTAGGATTGCGCAGTTCGACGACTTCAGTCTTGATCATTTCGATTAGGGAAGACAGAGAGAGTTCCATTCGCTGGTGCTTCCAATCGACAGTGTATCTGAGTGACTGTGAGCAGTGGTTACGCGTTGGAACGACGACGGTCGAGAGAGCTCGAAGGCGAACGTTGTCCTTGGGCTTAAATGCTCTCTTTGACGGAGAACACGCCGCGACACAAAGCAGGATGCAAGCTACGAGCAAGAGAGCAACTTGAAGACCGGCATCATATCGATTACCGAAGCTATAGCGACTGAAGAAGACGCGAAGAAAAGGGATTGATTCATGCAGATTCAAGTATTCGTATCGAAGAGAGAAGGTGATTCGATAAATCGCATCCATCGACAGCAAATCCGAGCAAAAGTCTGGCATGGTGGTTGGAAAAGACGGAGACGGAGAATGCCGAGCTTTGAAGGATTTCCTCAATATCACCTCTAGTTGGAGTTGAATTCAGTTCTTAAAACTACCGCCATATCCATTCGCACATTAGTTACTCGTAGGGCACAAGAATTCGCGCAGAAGATATCCATGCACATCTTGTATTTCAATGACATTAAAGCCTGCTTTGACAGACCTCACTCAACGCAGCTATCATGTATGCCTCCACAAGTTTTTATATCCTCCTTGATTAACCACGTTCAGGCCTCTAGACGTCGTGTCGTTGTCCGTAAGCGGAATAAGAGATTCTACGACCACAACCGACGCCCATCTGCCCACATCCTTACCACAATCGCTGCGAGAGGCCGCTTGAAGAATAGCATGTGTCTTTCATGGATTGATTACTTTATTGCAGTTTGGGTTTTTCGCCGGGTACTATCGCCCACAGGATTATCATGAAGCTCATCATGGCAACTAGTCTGCGGCAAGTCGGAAGTGTCAGCTCATGCAGCATCTGGGGAAGGCTACTACCACTTACAATGGTTGCAGACTTGAGATGCCCACTGAACTCGCCATAGCACCTGTGATGAAGGGGAAGAGGGCGGTGCCTGCCTGTCCGAATCCAGCAATCCAGCCAATGCACCCTGTGAGGAGCCATGGCGGAAGGATGCGACTCGAGTGGTTCATGACGATTGGGTACATGGGCCCGAGGAGGACACCAACAAGAGAGACAGCTACCCCGTTTCCTACCAGAGAAGGAACACGCCATACGATCACTTCAAGGCTAGTAACAGACAGACAAGAAACTTTAATAGGACCAAGACAGCAGAAGTCAAAAAGACGTTACGTACCCAATTGCGAGGAGAGCATAGAAGAAGAGGACGCGTCGTTCACCAACCTATGATAAGTGGAGATTGTGAGTAATAAGACCTCTGACATAATATTAGACATACCAATTTATTGACCCATAATAAGGCGAGACGACCAACGGTCAGGCCTCCGAAGAAACCTGACGAAATGTACCCGGCCGTCTCTCCACCACCGCGCATCTCAATGACATATGTAACGATCCAACCTTGTTTTTCCTGTTTCAGCTAAGGACACATTGAACGTGGTCAAAGCATACCTCCGAGAGTGAATTCAACCCCTACATAAACCAAGATGAACAGTGCCAAAAGATGGACGTTCCTCAACGTTAAGACCTGGCGAAGGGCACTGTGTTGGCTGGATCCGCTCTCGCCAGCAGACTCGCCAATCTCTGCTAGACACTCGTCTTGAGTCCGCAGCTTAAAGACGAGGAAGAGGAAGACGGTGTTGAGTAGTGCGAGCCCAAGTGAAGTAAGGTAGTGGAAGGACCAGTGGGGGATGTAGGCGAATCGGGTCGCGACGAGGGGCGAGCATAGCGCACCGGCTCCATAAACAGCGTGAAAGAGTGCCATTTTTGTTTCAGGATTACGTTTGTAGCAGGCAACGTACCCGTTTGCCTGTGCATCCTGGAAAGCCAAGCCAACCCCGTTGATCATATAGGCAATGACGAATACAGGGAAGGGGAGTCCAGGAGCCTGCAGAGAGTACGCGGTTACCTGGCACAGGGAACCTTCGAGGAACGTACAATCAATTCAATGTATCGAGCTTGCTTTTTGGCAAGAGCGTACCAAGGATCATCAATTTTCCAAAACCAAGTTTTGGAGTCAAAACTATGTTTGCGAATGCACCGGAAAGGAAGCCCTGAAACGGGCATGATTTATGGATCCCACCTTTCAAATGCTGAGGGGACTCACGAAGCAGGCGCAGACGAAAATCAACGAAACAATCGTATAGTTAGCCTTTGCCAAAATTGAATTTTTTGTGTATAGCTTTTAGAAAAGTGGGATACTTACATGATAGACGGTCTGCATCCTTGGAATGAGTGGTCCCGCGGTACCATCGTTCCAACCTAAATCGTGCATTATTACGTTCAATTCACAAGGGGAAAAAATCGCTCCCTACCTGCCAGAAACATGAACCAGCAGAGGGTAGCATAATGCAGTCGACCCTTGTTACGCTTCTGCCTGCTTTCTGCAGGCGTATCAATCACGGTTTCTGAGACCGCATCCGGCTTTGATGCCGAGGAGTCTAAGTTTGGGCTCGCAGGATGGATTTCCCTCAGCTCAATACTTCGGGTCTGTGCAACGTCATGTACTGAGGTAGCAGAAGTGGCCATTGTCGCTCATTGGGAAAGAAACTCGAGATGCTGTCGTCCTTTTTGTAGTATAGCTAGGTCTGTTAGATGATGGAGATATTCCAATAAAACTCCAACCATTCAGACGATGACACGTCACCTTGCAATTTGGATGCAGATTATTATGAGATTATTGCGTAAATGACTATGGACGGCAGGTCGCACGTGGCCTTCGTGCTGCAGCCAAGCAGTTGGTGTATTTGAGAACGAGTGCTATGACAAGGAGCTGGAATTAGAGCGAGCGCTGTGGCGTAGCACTGGCGATACAGCTGTACCCCCAGGTTCTTGGCCAGATGACCCTCTCGACAAGCCTCTCCATGAAGAGAATGGTGTCATATGTTCTGCTGACGTCCTCCTGCCTCAATAGAACTCGACACGCAAGTTGTAGGCAAATGCAGCTCGTCTATGCGGTAGATATCAGCCAATTTCAGGCTCAGACAGATTTCGGTGTCAAGTATTTTAGAATCAGAATGCCGATAAAGAACTATCTTGATGAATCTATAACTACTTCCGCATCGTATAACATCCTTGACCTCACCAAAGTTTGGCTTCAAAAGCTTTACTCTAAACAGGAATCCGGAAAACTACTTCGCCGAGATTGAGCGAGTAAGCCTCTTTGTTCAAGTCGCCTCAAGTTCAGAGACTAATTTCCGTTCAAAACCCTCCTTCTCTCCTTCAAACATGGTCCCCTACATCGAACCCTCTGCAGACCCGCCTCTTCGCTTACCCGGACGCTGCGCGCTACGATCTCGGACCCAACTATAACCAGTTCCCCTCAACTGCCCTCTTTTCCACGCAGCCAACTTCCAACGTGACGGCTGGGGAACGTTCTTTTCCCAAGGCACTCATCCGAACTACCAGAGTAGTACGCAGCCTTTGAACTATCAGGAGAACCCTGGTTGGATCTACGACGAGAGTCTCGCGGCGTGTGATGAGGATCGCAGGGTCAACCATGAGAATTTTGTCGGAGCAGCTAGGATTTCGATATTTTTTCAGGTTACCCTGATGGCTGCTATCGCCTTGCAAGTTACGTCCATGGAGGGCTTACCTACTAGCGAGAGTTTTTTTGTAAGTTGCTACCAAGCTACAACAGTTCTTCCGAATTTCTCCGCCTTGCAACGTGCCTTGTCGAAGCTGGCAGCCGCCGTCAGGGGATATACTCAAGTGATTGCACACCCCTGCCAGTGATCCGACCTCTAATTCTTCTGTCCTCTTCGGGGTGACATACTAAAAAATTGGAATGATACGGAGAAGAGTAGCATGGCCCCTGCACAAGGATAACACCCGATGGAAGTCAGGGGGCTGGAGCTTATCGAAATGCGAATAGCGCAGCACGCAGGTGAACAGCCACTATTGGATTTACCGACAAGGGTCAAGTTCGCCGTTTTGTCTGTACTCTTCCATGGTTCTCTCATGGCGACTTTCTCAAATCGTGTCGTTCTGCCTTCTGGCAGCTTGTGCATTCCTTTTTTATCAAGACCTTTATAATCTACTCCACAGACGCATCGAGCGGCAAGCACCTTTTCAGCCATATGACGAGAACAAATCCGTAGTGCTGCCTGTGGTCGAGTCGTGGGATTCATCGACAGTGTTGAAGGGGTCTCCAACAGAGAGATTTAGAGGTGAGTGGTTTGTACCATCCTTTGGAAATCTGTGTTCAATTATGACAAGATAATCTATTTCCTGACTACTACTACGTTTCATCCTGGAACGTCGGTGGTTTCAGTGAGCTCAAAAACACCTTTATTTTAAGCGCTGACCTGATCTTGCATGAAAATGCAGCGAACCAATTTATGAGTACTGTGAGTGCCCGTGTAGAAATGGTTTCTATTGCATTGATTCGGAATCTATGTTAGGTTAACCTCATATATCTCGGCATTTTGTCGGATAGGATAGCCATACTCCCCCCTTTTGCGCCCTTTGACCACGTACGTAAGTCGTAATATCCCTTCCTGTTGAAATATTTCTTTGACATTTTCCTGCATACTAGAGGCTAGTGCCGGAATCCTACATTTTGGCGATGTTTTTAACCTACCATTCGCCCGTAACAAACTGCGCCTTTCGGTCGTTGAGTGGTCCGATGTTAAGGATACCGCAGCTTCGTCGAATTCGTCTGGGGAACGCGAGTCTTTAGGTTGCTGGTCAACCTGGGCTGCCAGCAATCTCCATGAGCGCAAACCGCGTCAAGCTGACGCCTTGACATCCCGCCTGGGATTTGACGTTTCCTACACACCTGTTCCGCTTAATACTCGCCGCTCGTCCGAGGACGACTCTTACGACTGGTTTCTTCTCTTTAATCCTATATCCTCTCTGATATATACTGATGTCTCGGCTCCTCGAGAAGATGCCTCTTTTCCTAATAGCAAAGGCGAGCCTTTGCCTCCCGATGAACACCTCAGTTGTTTCGATCTGATGTACTTTACCGTGGCTGGTCCAAACGATTCGGGATGGGAAAGCCGCTGGTCTCCTGCATGGAGATTTGTAGGGCAGTATATGAGATTTACCTCATCCGTGGTGGATATAGCTAAGGGTTATGTGAGAAGGGCCTTGGGCGTCGAGCATGATACTCCAGTGAGTATGAATCACTGGTTCGTATTGTGATATCAATGCTGAAGGGATACAGTTTATCTCGGTGCATGTGAGGCATGGTGATTTCCAGGTTTCATGCGAGAAAAATCCTAACTGCTTCTCGCCGCTGAGTATGTATGTGGACATGGTCAAGGAGGTACAGGAGGAGTTGTATATTAAGCATGGTATCAGAATATCGGATGAGCATGTTATCATGACATCAGGTAGGTATCGCTATCTCAGTTGTCCTCCTTCTCTAACTTGCTTCACAGATGAGACCAACTTGTCTTTTTGGAATGAAGTGGACTCCCTTGGTTGGCGACACATAGATCACACCAAAGAGAACACGATGGATTTGTACGGAGAGTGGTACATGACTTTGGTTGAGGTTGTAGTTCAGAGTCTTTCCTTGGGTTTCGTGGGTACTGGTAGATCCACTCTGAGTACAGTCAGTCAGAAACGCGTGGAGGATTGGAATAACGGCACAACGAGAATTGTGCCTTTCGTACCGTGGCTATGAGTTTCTTAGCTGATATACACGTAGTTTACTCTCCACTATTCTATTTGCATTAGAATAAATTTCTTGAATGACAGTGTGGGAAATACCCAATGAGAAGTTGGACAGGAGTCCTCGGCTATCCCGTGACCGTATCTTCCCACCTTTTTGCTGAAATTCTGTTCTGCCTTCTCAACGTGACCGTGATCCGTTCACAATTAAAAGCAGTCTTGTCTCACTTGCTTCTGTTTTCATACATTCAAGTGTAATACGCCGAGGGTGCTGGCTTCAAGAGTCATTTCTCAAGCTAGCTGAACCAAGACGACGCCCCATAATTTTGGGGAGAACGGAGGGATCGGATATCCACAATTTTACCCGTTGGAAGCCTGGAAGGTACCATAAAGCATTGCTGTAAAGGATGACCTATCTATATCACAGATGCGACCGCCGTGTCGACCGACCCGTTATCGTCCCTTCTGTGGGAATTGCATGTTCCGAAACTCTTCTTCTGATACTACTTATCACGAACTAAGAATACGGGGGACAGGAACAGTCGTATTTTCGCGGACGAACTTGATGTTGTTCGCCTCGATCTCCGGGGGCCGATCCTGAGTGTGTTTGAGGATCAGACTGAAAGGAAGATGCCATACACTCCATTCTCCAACGTCGTACCACTTTTCTAGACGGAGGTAAATGGAGGACCTTATGGATTTGGGAAAACATAGCCATAGACACCACGGAAGTACCTTGAGGTAGGACGAGAGAATGGGCAGAAATGAGGGACAAGGCTGCATGTTGTGTTGCAGTAGGATCCTGGGCTAAATTTAAAGAAGGTAAGGAGATACTCTTACCACACACTTTGGCGCTCCTCGTGGTACACTTCAAGTGCGTGGTGTGACGTCACGCGTCTTGGGCCCACTGCTGCCCACTGCCATTATTGGAATCAGCCGTCAGCTCTTGTATTGCGTGGTTGAAAGCAATACTATGATATATCTGTGCAACATATCGTCGACATTGCGACCACATCGACATTTGATATATATGAATGAAACCGGGAAATCCTGTCAACAAACTCGGGACGAAGTTGGCAACCAAAGTTCAAGAGATTTCGTTGAAGGAATGAGCGATAACAAACTACTACAATTGAAAATAAATACCTCTAGGTGGCAGATAGTACTTCAGATACAGAAGATAAGTGTTGTAAGTAGAGAGCAGAGTAATGTAACAGAGAACTAGAATTAGCCTCTCGAGAGAGAAACATTCTACTTAAATACATTTTGTATTACTTCGAGATCTTTCTACGAGATACTAAATAAGTCCGGATCACGATCCAAGTCAGCTGCCACAGACTGGCATCATATCTTCGAGTACGTTCTCGTACTCACTCGGGATTGCTATCCCAACACTCCCCCTCAATTCTGAGTTCCTAGAATATCTGCAGATAGATACTCATGTAATGGTCTTGGTAGGCCTTTAGTGAATATATCCGCTAAGTTCTCTTCTGATGCGCAGTGCTGAACTTTGACTTCATTTGAAGTCATGTGCTCATGAACGAAGTGGTGCCGTATGTCTATATGCTTCGATCGAGCATAGAATATAGGGTTCTCGGTGAATTTGATTGCTGATTGATTGTCGATGAAAATAGTTGTCGCTTCGTAAGGTGGCAATCCTAATTCGGTTAAGAGTGCTCGTAGCCAAATTACTTCCCAGGTTGTGTGTGCAAGGGCCATATATTCTGCTTCCATAGTGGATAAGGCTATGGTGGGCTGTTTCTTTGAACTCCAAGTAACAGCTCCCCCTGCATAGGTACAGACATAACCAGATGTTGATCTTTTATCTGTTCTGTCTTCTCCCCAGTCTGAGTCTGAATAAGGTATCAGCTCATCCATAGTCCCTCCATATGTGATTCCGAAGTCTAGAGTTCCCTTCAGATAGCGGAAAACTCGCTTCAAGGCTGTGACATGCTCAGCAGCCAGATTCTGCACATACTTGCTTAATTTGGTGACAGCATGTGCAATGTCGGGCCGGGATCCATTGGCCACATACATTAGTGATCTGACACCAGTATGGTAATATTGCCTGGTGGCTGTGTCAATGCCTCGTGGATCTTCTGTCGGAATTTTCTCTAGCCGTACATTTGAGTCCATAGGCATTTTGACCGGTTTGCAGTCATTCATGCCCATTCGCTCAAGTACTTTGAGAATATATGCCTTCTGGGATAGAGTGATAGTGCTCTTGTCCCTATTCCTGTCTATCTTCATGCCCAATATATATTGAATCTCCTCTATGTCTGTGACATTTAGCTTCTTCTTAAGCTCTTCTTTCATTTTAGACATGGTTTCATCATCTGAGGCAAGCAGTGTCATGTCATTGACATGTACAGCTACGATTATAGGACCAGAACTCATTTGTCTGATGTACACACATTGATCATTGATCAATCTGATGTACCCAAGTCCCAAAAATGTAGCATTTAATTTGTCATTCCAAACTCAGCCAGATTGCTTGAGTCCATACAATGTTAATTTGAGGTGTGCCACTTTTCCACTCTCATCTGAATATTCAGGTGGCTATGCCATGTAAATGGATTCATTGAGTTTACCATTTAAGTAAGCTCCAACAATGTCCATTCCATGAATGATTAGGTTTCTTTGAGCAGCAATTGCCATGAGTAGGCGGAATGTGTCCAGCCTGACAACTGGTGCATATGTCTTGAAGAAATCAATGTTGGATACCTGTGAAAATCCTTTTGCAACAAGTCTGGCCTTGTACCTGGTGATTTTCCCATCACCATCCCTTTTCAATCTGTAAGTCCACTTGCAATCCACAAGTGATCTGTCTTTGGGTAATTCTTCCAGTTGCCATGTGCCTAGAGAAGTCAATAGATTGTATTCTTCATCCATTGCTTTCTTCCAATGATGCCAGTCTGGCCTTGTTTTGGCTTCTTCAAGGCTTAATAGCTCATCACTGAGATTATCTGCAGTTTCCCCAATGCATGCATAGTCTATTGCAATATTTATGGCTTCCAAAGATGATTCTTCTGAGGTATGCTGTTGTTCCGATGTTTTCACAGCTCATACACTTGGATTATGAAGTGTCCGGTAACTCGGTTGAGTCTTTGATGCAATTCGGACCGATTTGTCATGTGGCTCGATCACTTTCTTATACCATATTGGGAAATTTGATTTGATTGATGACACATCAGGGGCTATTTTCCTTTTTGGTTCGGCATTTCTGGCATCCATGGAATCGTCTGAAATGCCATCATTTCCATCTGGAGTCTGCTCGACTTTGCTCTCTGACTCCCCCTCGAGTGACAAAGGGTGGGAGACTATATAGTCAGTGTCTATAGGCTCTGTAGTGTTGTTTTCAGGGAATATAACATTTCTTGAGGTCTGAATCTGCCTGGTTTGAGGGTTATAATATCTCCAGGCCCTGGATTCATCTGTAAGACCTGTGAAAATAAATTCCCTTGACTTTGGGTCCAGTTTTGACCTCTTGTTATCTTGCTGCAACACCCAGCACTTTACTCCGAATCCCTGAAGTGCCGAAATATCTGGTTTCATACCCTGAAACACTTCTTCTGGAGTTAAATCATTCTTGATAGCCCTGGTTGGTGATCGGTTCTTCAAATATGTGGCATATGCCACTGCCTCGGGCCATAGAAACTTCGGTAAGTGATGTTCTTCTAGCATGGCATGTGCATGCTCCATAAGAGTCTGATTTATTCTCTCAGCAACTTCGTTTTGAGATGGAGAGTATGCTGCAGTCAATTCCAACTGTATGCCATTATCCTGGAGGTATTCCTTTACCTCTTTATTGACATATTCCTTTCCATTGTCAATCCTCATAAACTTCAGATCCTTCCCTTTGTGGACTTTGATGTATTTTTGATACTGCTGGATCTTCTTTTGAATTTCCATACCTTGCTTTGATTTCAAAAAATACAACATTGTCCTTCAGGATTTTCCATCTGTGAAGCTTATGTAATACCTTTCACCATGGATACCCTGAGTTCAGGCTGACCCTCATAGATCCAAAAATGTCATTTCCCCTATTTCAGTATAGTCCCTTTTGGCTTCCTGTGGAAATGGCTTGGTATGATGTTTGGCTTTTATGCAAGCTATGCAATCTGTCTGAGGCTTGGCTGACTCATCTATATCCATCCCCTTGACCATTTTCTTCCTAAATAGTCTCTTTACTGATCCCATATTTAAGTGGCCTAATGTTTTGTGCCACTTTTGCCATGATCAGGCTGATTTCATAGTATGGGCCTGGGTTATTTCTGGAACAATGATGTCAAGGCTGTACAGCTTTGATATTTTATCTCCATGGCTGATTATCTTGCCATGTGGTGAGATAATATCCATTCTGGACTCTTTGAATCTGAGTTCAAATCCAGCATCTGTAATGCGCCCTACCGACATAAGATTGAATGGTGCATCAGGGCAGTGGATACACTCTTTTAGTGTGACTGGAGTGATCTTTTCCCCTTCAACCATTTTAATCTTGACAGTTCCCCTTTCCAAGCCTTTGGATTTGCCTACACCAATGACTTCATGTCCTGGGGTTTCAACATAGTCAGAAAAATATAATCTATTTTTGACTATATGTCTGGTAGTGCCAGAGTCCCCTAGCCATGATACTCCTGAGAGTGAAGTAAGTGCGACGTCTGTTGCACAAAATACGTAGTCATCTTCTTCTGAGTCCGATTTGGCAATATGTGCCTGAGTCTGGCCCTTTCCCTTTCCTTTCCATGACTTTCCGGAATTCTTCTTCCCATTTGGGCAATTTGTTCTGATGTGACCAGTTTCCCCACATCCGTAACATATGACTTTTGAATTGGACTTCTTGCCATGTGCTGCAAGTGTCATAGTCCGATCAGAAGTCTTTTCCTTTAGTCGAATGTCCTCCTGAAGAATTCGGGAAATCAACTTGTAAGAATCTTTCAAGTCAGCAGTATCCACTGATGAGATGAATGAATTCCATGATTCTGGGAGTGATGTAAGCAGTGTGATAGAGAAGTCCTCCTCCTCAACTTTCTGCTTAAGGGATGCCAGCTCCTCCTGATAGGACCTCAAAGTCCTAATATGCTCCTCTATGTTTCCTCCTTCTTTGCACTGAGCTCTGAAGAATTTCCTTCTGACAAGGACAATTCCCATGGGTCCCTTAGACTCATACATATCTTCCAGAGCTTTCCAGGCTTCTGCTGAAGTCTTTGAACCAGCAATATATACCAGCAGGCCATCAGAAACCCACAATCTTATTGTTGAAAGAGCCTTCCTATCACTCTTCTTCCAATCTGCCACCAGTGTCATGTCTGCCAGGGCCAGAATGCTTCCATCTGCATAATCAATCAGTCCTAAATCGGTTAGGATATCGATCATCTTGATTTTCCATGTTGGATAATTTTCCGGGCCCTTAAGGGGGTCAATTCTATACACGGACTGGCTATCCATGCGGTTCTACGTGTGTACGTAAAGTACAAAAGAGTGCGAAGTGAGTAGCGACGTAAGTTCAGTTATGGCTGGGGCCCATAACCTGTTGTAAGTAGAGAGCAGAGTAATGTAACAGAGAACTAGAATTAGCCTCTCGAGAGAGAAACATTCTACTTAAATACATTTTGTATTACTTCGAGATCTTTCTACGAGATACTAAATAAGTCCGGATCACGATCCAAGTCAGCTGCCACAGACTGGCATCGTATCTTCGAGTACGTTCTCGTACTCGCTCGGGATTGCTATCCCAACAATAAGGAATCAGTAGGTTAAGGAAAAAGGATCTGCTGGGTAGCCATGCAGCCTTATCTTTTCAAACTTGGGCCTTATTCACGCAAAGACGCAACGCAGTCGCAGTAGTAGTCGAGTTCCAGACAGAGAAAATCTGAGGCTGTTCAAGCCGGGATAACATGAAAGACGCGTTAAATGATTTAATTTCTATGGACAACATATGCTGGTAACTCAAGACCAATCACCAGCATCCTGAACATCAGTCTTCTCCCTTGCTGCCTTTAATAAATCTTCGACTGTCCACGGTTCGTAGGTGTAGCCTGGAGGAGTGTTGGTATTAGCAAAAGGTGTGCCCTCCGTTATGTGCTTCGCGCACGCAGCATAATTGTCGTATGCATATTTCTCTGAATCGTGCTTCGCTAGCCAGTTACCGATGACCTTGCCGACTAGCTGGGGGTTCTTCGAGACAGCATCCCAATCCGTGTGATGCCAACTTTCACGCGTCTTGAATCCCATCCTTTGTGCGCAAGAGACGCGTTCAAACCTAAATATAATGAAACACATTAGTACTGAACGGCAAGAAAAGAATTCTATGAACGAACCGCAGCTTGTTGTAAACTTGAACAGCCAAAGGGATGTTATTCCTTCCACCGACGTGAAGACAAGCTGCGAGAGTAAAACCATCCTCCATAGCCATGGTCGCGCCGCTGCCACTAGTAGGAAGGAGACTATGCGCAGCATCTCCGATTTGGGCAACTCGACCCATCGGGGAGGTCCACTTGGGTTGCGGGTTACGCCACATAAGCTTCCAGTCAACGACTTCCTTGTTGGGCACCGCGTTAATGAGAGCTGGGACGAACGGACTCCAGTCCTTCACGTATTTAAGCGCAGAGTCAGAACTCTGGGTCTTTGACCAGTCCTCGGTGGCATTGCCATTGTCCTAGTATGGCATGCTATCAGAATGGGACCAGGATAATCAAAAGAGAGCACTCGCGAGGTAGGTCATCATCCAGCAAACGATATTTTTGTTCTTTCCGGTCACTATGTGTGAATTGGGGCCTATATAAGCCGATGCATGGGAGCCATTGCCTTCGTACACCTTCGCCAGCAGAGGATCATTCATTGCGTGCTCAAGTGGGAAGGTCGTTCGATAGATTGCGTAGCCGCTGCTGATAGGCTGTTCCTTCTTCCCACTGACGATACTCCATGCCTTACCTCCCACGCCATCTGCAGCGATGACGAGATCCGCCTCAAGCTTGGTGCCATCAGCAAGGATAGCACAACCCTTATCGATGGTCTCGGAGTAGTGTTCGACGCTGATCCCATGCTGGATGGAAATCCCGAGTGAAGTTGCGTACTTGTGCAACGCACGATGGAGCTCCAGACGACTGAGAGTGACGGCACGTTCGCCAGTACTCGGGTCATAGTCACACAAGCTAGGGAATACCCCAATGAGGGTCCCATCGAACTTGTACATGTGGACATCGGGTCCGAATTGGTTTTCATAGAGCTGGTCCACGAATCCGGGCCACTTGCGCATAGTGCATAGTGCGCTGGGCTGGATGGCGATTAAATCACCTAGAAGAGCGTGCGTGTGAGGTTTGAGAAGTTACACGTATTTGAGCCACATACCGAAGGGATCGAGACCAGGTCGACGTTCGACAACGCGAACATTGTGACCTTTGCGATAACATTCGATGGCGACGGTTAACCCTGCAAGGCCCCCACCTACACGAGAGTTATCAGCTTTGCAGAGGATGTGCTATTGAAGGGTCTGAACCGACCTGCAATGAGGATGTCTATGCGGGAGAGCGGTTCGCGAACCATGTTTTCAGCCATGATGAGAGGAGAGACAACTGGGATGTTGGCTGAAAAGTATGGATGTCCATGAAAATGTATCGCGAACTTTATATCGTAGAATCATGCATAGTTTCGGACTGTCGGGGGAGAAAGATAAATAAGATTGACTAAGTCGAATGCGAAATATCGCTCGGATTGCGGCGTTCGAGTTTCAGATGGGGATGGGTACAGCTAAAGATACATCCATAGAACACAGTGTCGGAATTCCTTGCCCCAAAAAGCATTGTCCATGATACGTTGTTGATGAATAACCTAGCTCCAAAAAATCCTTTGATCTGCGAGTAGTTGGTCCCCAGCCGGTTTGAAGCCAAATGAACAAAAGTCAAAGACAATCTGGATATTGACTAGAAATGGGTCCTCAGCAGGATTCATAGCCTCGATATGAAAACAAGGATTGGCACTTTGGTGCTTGTTCTTGAAGCACTAGCGGTATTTCCACATCGTCAATTGTATAACAAAACGGAACTCGCCTCGGCGTTGCAAGTCCCGAAGTTGTAAGCCTTCACGCGTAACACATTTTAAGAAGCCCCAGAAGATCATGGAAGTATGGTGCATGGCTGGAAATGACGTCGACTGACATTCGGCGGGCCCCTTGAGGGGATATATGTAGGTAGAAGTCGCAGCGCTCCATTTCTGCTACTTATCTATTGGTGGACGGTCACTCATCGGTATGACTCCTAGTAAGACCTACGTACGTGAGCTATTGCCCGAACCACTGCGGTTAAGGGAGACAAGGATGAACATCGATGGTCTAGAAACCCAGCGGTTCTTTTGATAAACATTACATTGTTCGAGTTCTCGGATTTATTAGCGTGTATCAGCGGCGGTATATATTACACCCCCACAGTTTGTTTTATCTGATTTGCCAGTTCAAGATAAAACCAAGTTTACTTGTTAGCACTCACCGATATCGCTCTCCTGTAGTCACCTGCACCGACGTACGTATACATATATTGAGCCCCTCCGAGGACCTCTAAGGAAGAAGCTCGAGCAAAGTTATTTAAATCCTTTTATAACGTGTAGGCGCTAATGGTTTTGGAGCACTCCGCTACCGAAATACCGAAATGAACAGTGGAAACTGACATCGATCATCGATGAGCCTTCAAGTTGCCACGTCGGCACAGGTCTGCAGAAGCGCGTACAGAGGTGTCAGCATACTCCCTTCTTAGTCATTTGACTGTTGACTTCATCTTTTCCTAGCATTTATCGTGCTCGGCAACGTCGGTTGGGTTGGTGAGCGGTTATTGAGATGGCTTCAGGGAAGTCATTGACTGGGCTTTTTCGGCCTAAGTTCTTTGTTGTGGGAAGTATATTCATGTTATGAGAGGCTCATAGAAGGTTTAGCTGCCTTTATGACAAGGTGTTGGGACAAAGAGAGATGAGAACGTAAGAGTCTGCATTTTGGGTTGCAGAAGGACTCGCCGGCTACTCGGGCCAATAACCCTCTGACGCTCTTCGCATCGTAAGCATAGAGGGCCCCTCAATCCATGCCTGATTCGAAAAGGAGAGACAAGAGCAGCACCACTCAACGAGAAATTGATGACTGGTGACTGGGAATAGATACTTATTCAGCAGGTAAGTAAATGACTGGTGCAGGGAAGCTGTGAATTCAGACATATAGATAAACAGTATATGTGCCTCTTAATCACCACTCGAGTCTGTCAAAATCACTCAAGACATCTCTCGCAGTTTCCTCCATGGTCCTGAACTTCAACCCAAGCAACCTCTTCTCCTTGCTCGTGTCAAATACAATCGCATATCTGGTATCGCCAGGGACAGCCTTGGGGAGAGTGCGAGATGTCGAAACAGACTGCGCCGCATTGACTGCATATATAGATCAGCCTAGTTTACCAGGCGCAAATAAGGACATACTGAAGTCTTGCCACACGCAAGAGCCAGCTGATATGATAATCCTCTCACCACCAGCAGCTTCGACCTCCAATGCTAGGACATGAGCTTCGGCGAGATCGCGGACATCCACCCAACCGTGCCCTGGCTGTGTAAGGATTGCATCCGAGGACAATCCACCCTTGTCCATCTGAGCTACGACGTTGTACCACAGTTTTGCAGAGGTGTTGAGGGCATTGAGGGAGGGCACGTCATGGATGAAGGGCTGATAAGAGAAGTTATAGAGATATCCGATGCGCGCTGGAAAGATGTCTTTGGCGACCACTCACCCCAAACACCCATGGTGGGTTTATCATGGTCAGGTCCCAAGGAAGCTCCGATTTCTGTGTTTCATAGAAATTCCAAGCAGCTTCGAGTCGACATCAGTACGTGCACCTCATCCAGGACAAAGACTACGGCACCTTTCTCAGCTAATACCTTGGACGTGCGATATTTCGCAAAAGCCGACGCATCTTGGCCTTTCTCCTCTACTTCCTTTGGCGATTGCTCGTTCCAATCGACTTCCGATAAGGTAATGGTCTCCGGCTCCGACCGCATAATTGCAGCACATGAAGATGTGACGACGATACGTCGTACAGATGATCTGTGCGAAGTTGAATGGCAATAATATGAAATCAAAGAACATATGCACCCATATTTGGCTGCACTGGTCAGCATACCTACTGTGCCCTTCACAGCAGGTAGGATCAGCTCTGAAGTTAATGAGATAATAACTCGAGGGCCAGGAGCGAAGGACACACCTTGGGGGTCGCTCACGCTCAACTGCACAGGTGATGCCGTATGAGCTATCGCATCTACACCCTTAACCGCTTCATCGAAGGCCCCGTCCTATCTTAGACGTCAGGACTTGTTTATCAGAGAGAACGATAGACACACACCTTGGTGATATCATCGACCACAACAATTTCCAGCTGGTTGCTATATGACTTGAAGGTGTTCTTCAAGTGCTCGCCTTTCACTAGGCTGCGCACCGTCCCTCGCACCGCATAACCTCTCTCCAAAAGGGCACGAACAATCCATGTTGCGATGTAGCCATTTGCACCGGAGACGAGAACTTTGCTGGGAGAACTAATTGATGGCATAGGGAGCTGGGGGACGCAATGGCGGCGAAAACGTATATATATAGTTTGGATTCATAACGGATTATGTACTAAATGACCAAACAAACTGAATAAGCCGCTCTGAAAAAAAAAAAAGACTCTGGCATGGTACTCACCAAAAAGTGAAGGCTCTGGAGGGCATAAGAAGCTGCCGACACTATTGGTGCAGAGCGTCCTTACCTCGGAAAACCACATATCAGAAAACCAGAAGAGGACACAGCAATAAATATCACACCTTGATCATACTACCACAGAAATTCTAACCATCTAGGTCGCTTCACTACAACGAGCTGTTCTCCAAATCAGCGCTCCATTCTGCGATGCAAAAACGATCCACCGGTCCCATGAGAGTTAGTGACAAAGGTACGCTTCGCACGTGATCGACGTGATCTGCTTCTGAATCAGTATCTTGCGCCCGTTGAGCGCCCAGCGTCAGCGCTACGTGCGATGTCAGAGAAAGAAATGGCTGAATCTTCTGCTCAGGGCGGTGCGTGATGATGAATGCCAGTGAGGTACACTTATTTATGTGGGCGCTTCTACTAGCAGGACTCGGATTCCAATTTCCCCTTGAGTTAATAGAGGCCATTGTCGAAAACAACAGGGGAGACAAGGTCTCTCTACTCGCGTCTTCATGTGTATTGAAATCATGGTGCGCGGCGTCACAACGATACCTTTTCACCGCCAATTTCTCGTCCGACGATGATTTCACGCGTTGGCGTGAAATCGGATCCCATCTACCCCAAGTACCTATTTTCGTCAAGGAGGTCGTGTTCGCACCTGGACGCCGCTCTGAGATGGAGACGCCTTTTCACCAATACTGTCATCTCCATCCTCATCTCGTTCCCTACTATCTACTCTTGCGCGGACAATGTCTACGCCTGCAGAGGTAGAGGCTTATCGTCGACGTCTACCTGGCCCCATGTCCATTATCAAGACCGTCGTACAGGCTCACTGTGTCCGAGGGCTTTGGTTGGGCTACACTGGGACTTTACTCTGCAAAACAGGTAGCACTGCGTCATGGTTCGTCCTCACAGAATGGCTTGCGTCCGAGTTAAAGACGCGAAGACTGGGTGAGGATATCTCTGGTGAACTTCTGCCGTGGGAGTCAGCCGTCTCTAGGGCCATCTCAGGCGCGGCATGCGTACTGGCGCTATATCCTGCCGATACCGTGAAAAATGCGATGCAGACAGAGGAGGAGTTGCGTTCGCAGGTTGGGAAAAAGATTACAGAGGAGGCGACCTCTTTTTATCGGACAGCTACGAGGATGTACTCTACACACGGAATTCGAGGGTTGCATGACTGTCGTGAGAGCGGTGCCCAGTAGTAGGATCGTCTTTCTGGTATATGATGGGCTGAACTCCTGGTTCAGTAGACTATAAGGCAGTATTTACTTAAAACATACACAGCTAATCGAGACGTACTCATTTGTCTCCATTTTTATTGTATTTGCATAAAAGGTAGTCATCCAGTGTAGCTCCTGTGGCAAAACCTACAATGCTCCCTATAAGCTCTCTCGCTTGTCCGTGCAAGGGCAAGGGAATTTGTCTGGGAACCTGTAACATCTTTACGTGCTTTGAATCCATTAATGTCTATTTAATACAAGTTTGTGTAAAGATACAAATTACCTAGTAATATACATACTTCAATTGATCGATACAGGTGAATGTAGGAGATAACGGCTCCCGGCTCACGGTCAGCCGGAACATGGGCACCACAAATAACGCGGGTGGATGGAACGATACATTTAGTATACGGCGCAGACCTTTGAAGGCGGAGGTGGGAAATCGTCAAGGGTGAAGCTAGGATATGTAGGAGTGGTGGATTCAAAGATGGTTTGCAATGTTGCAATGCTTCCACAGAGTGGATGTTGGGTATAGAACGACTTCATACTGTTGATAGAAAATGCAGATGTGTTGGAAGGGCACGAGTATATCGATGCGTTGTCGCTATTACTTCGGTCAGGTTTCCAGTCCTTGGAGAGTTAGTTAGTTTGAAATACATAACACCAACGAGACAAAACTCACCACAAGCCCATCGTACATCTCTTGCTTTAAGCCCTCAATTTCCCGTGTATCGTTCTCCCAAGAAGCCCACTGATTGATACAGTACTGGGACAGTCTGTCGTACTCGGCAGCGGACAGTCATCGGCCTTTGCCATCGCGAGAAGTGTAAGCCCTCACAGGCAACTCCATAAATATGATAATAGAGATAGCCCACTGCTGAGGATTATGACAAGCTGGGTAGATCTTCAATGCGTACATATCCGAGTTAAGAAGAAGTTGTTCATTTGGTTCAATAGGGATGACAAATCGCTGGAGAAGCTTTCCAAGGCGCTCGTACTGGCCCTCAGACGATGAAAATGTGGCCATGACACAGATAAAATGGCCTTTTTTTCCGGCGGCCTTTGTTGTCGTGGTCAGGTGGGGGATCCATAATAATGCAGGGTCTTCGTTTGGGCCCAGAAGAAACGGGGACGACACTGCCATTTTTAGTGGCCAGTGAGGAACCTGTCCGAGTTTCTAGCGATCCTTCGATTTTATTCAAAGCTACGCAGAGCGGAGTGAAGATCGTCTCCTCGACTATGCAGATCTGGCCGCGTTTGAAGGTTGGGTAATGCTGGGGAGCTTTCCGAGTCCTGACTGACGAAGGTTTCGGTACACTGAGCGGCGTAGTGGGATTGTTATCCTTAGATAACACGGAATGAAAAAGCATTGTCGGAGGAAAAGATTGTTAAAGGTGGGCGCTAGGCCTGTAAGCTACGAGAGAGTGTAAGAGCGCTCAACGCTGAGAGAAAGTCGGCGAGATGAATTTATAGCCAGTGAAAGACGGAATTCCTCTACTTTATACGAGAGCCGCTGTCACCAAGGTTTCATTGACCTCATAATAGATAAGGTTTCTTTTATTTCGGCTCTAGGAAGCAAAGGTTGAGCAAAGAGAATACGGTACCAGGGCCAGGTTCGAGCACTTTCGCACGCTAATGATAATGATGTTTTCCCTTCATCTTCTTTTGGTCCTCTTTTTTTTCTAACTACGAATTCGTTGGCCACCTAGAAGACCATATAAGTATGCTTCGCCAGGTATCACTCCTTCCCCCATCACCCTCATTGCTCTCCTTTCGTCCGCTGATATGAACCTCCAAATCGTCCCACCTTCCTGTTATTATTTCGCTTTTTCCATCGATGTCACTGCAACGCTGGAGATGTATTGTGACGGAGGTAACGACTTTATGCTGCAAAAATTAGATGCTCTGAGGGATAGAATGTATGCAGGCTACTGTGTGGAGGTGCGTTGTACTGCTACTCGTTGTAGTCTTACCCATTAAAAAGCTGCTCTTCAGGTCGAAAGCCGAATTGACAAGGATAATAAATTCCCAACTTGCCTGAAACGGCCCATCTTAGGTCAAGGGAGCCTCTGGAGCTGTCGAAGCCATTGCCGTGCGGACCAATTGCTACCACCCCACCTGCTATGACCTCTATGGCCGTATCCCGACGGAATGGCGGGATTACTCTCAGTCACCACGTTTAAGGGCTCGTTTCTCCCCCCAGCTCATCAAACCTTTGGCAGAGGATGGGCGCTATCACCAACTCCTTCGGTCTGGACTAGACGATGATCAGGTTCTTCGAATTCTTGACGGTCAAGAAGATGCTCCAGATACAGACAACCGGTCGGAGACCGATAGTCAAACCGGACAAACATTCTTAGCCAACATGCCCGGCTGCGATGAGCCAGAGGATGATATCTTTATGCCTGTCCTGCGTATCGAATATGTGCTGTCAAATGTACTAGAAGTATTTGATCCTTCGCAGCTATGGGAAGACCGAGATCTTTTTCAAGAGTAAAGGATCCTCTCTAATTTTTGCCTATCATTCTCCTGAACCATTGGTCTGTCCAGCAATATGGAGGAGTATCAACTTGAGCGATACGGGCCGGTGGTTTATGAGTCGCCAGAGGATCCACCAATTGAGGACGAACCTCTTCCCGACAACTTTTCCATGGTATATAGTCTACTGTCGACGGCATCTGGTATTTCAACAGAGGATCTGAGCCCTGACTCCCCGGATTCGCATGCACTTGACTCATTGTCGGAGGAGTCTCCCCAAGTGCCGGTGCCTACTCGGAAAGGTAAGTATCTGTACATTTGAGAGCCGCGGCCTCCATTGAATTTTGCTTCAAGGAAAATGGAGAGTGAAGTCGCTCTTCCGACGCGCAATCACGAATTTCGTCGAGTTTGTTAAGGGGCATAAGTCCTCTACCAAGTTATCATGATTTAGTCTGCAGGATAGACTCTCGCTTCACTTTCGTTTTTCGAGAATTTCATACCATACACAATGCATCACTAATTATATTGTACAACTCACACTCTCTTTGACTCTTCCCATCACTGTTTCTTTTTAAACTTTCCTGAGTTCTAGTTAGGTAAGTTAATCCCGAGCCTTATATTTACACCACCTACCAGGCTCCGAGGAGCTCGAAAAAGAATTGGTCTCTTTTTGATCCGTCGCACCTATACACAGACTTGGATCTTCTCCAAGAGCAAGTGATCCCCTCAAGTCGAATTCTTCTCTTTGTTTTCAGAATCATGAAGTATCAGTTTGTGCGCTATGGATCAGTCCTTTTCGACCTGCCAGAGGGTCTGCCGAACAAATGCCCTCCTCGTAAGGGTGATTGTCCATGTAGAAAATTGCATTAATGTAGATTTACTACTGGAATGAATAAAATAAATATTGAGATCCGTAGATCTACCACTCCGGGAAAGCGTGTCATCCTTGTGCAGGGGCCATGCTAATCTTCTCTGTATCGTTCCAATTTTTTCGTATGTCACCCCGAAGGGGACAATATAAATATACAGTTCAGCGTGGCAGTGTTAACAGTTTTGTATTTGTGTCAGCTCACTGGAGGGCCTATCCATATCGGGAATATGCTCAGCAGCTAAAATGTCAGCAGTGACGCCTACGGTTCTACCTCGGGATCCCAGATTCCCGCACCTGCTGCCTTCAGTACCTAGGATTCGACCTATGCCGCTGCGTAGGAACGTTGGCTATGAATCTATCCACGCCGCATGAACGAATATCGCGACCTCCAGCGCGAGATGGGCGAGCCGAGCGAAGAGGAAAGCGAGCTTGAGGAATTGGTGCGCACCTATTCTGGCTGCGTGCGTGTTTCTCACTGACAACATTCACAATCGGGGTTTCGGGACCATCGTACCCATCAGTCGGATCAAGACGCAGCAAGAGGAGAAACGAGAGGTGCGTATGCTTTCCGTTGTCGTCGGTTCGTCTTGTGAATGAAAATCGCAGCTTGATGAGGCAGGTGATGGTGAAGACTGATGGGCCGCCGTCGTGGTGGAAGACGAGGACGAAGACGAATCTGCAGACATCGATGCTGGTATGCAGGATATGGGTATTAGCATGCAGGATCGGAAGAGTCCTCGGATGCTAGGATTACTATTTGGTACTCGAGGGTACAAATCAAATTCATCGATGGAACTTCATGGATCATTTTCTCACGCTGCTGCATTCCTTTGTCCTCTTTTTTGTCTCGAGATTGTTTCTCCGTTGCTACCCTGAAGATCGTATAAGATGCTTGATTTATTTGTCGCAGCTGCCGGTCATCTCCCCTTCACCCTCACTGTCACCCTTATCGCTCCCTGGTGACGCTTTTCTCCCCACTGGTATGTCTCTAGTCGTCCCACCGTCGAGTCAGTATTTCTTTTTTTCTATCGATATCGCTGCAACGATGGAAGTGCATTGTGATGGAGATGATGATCTTATGTTGCAAAAACTGCATGGTTTACAAGATAGGATGTATGCTGGCTCCTGCTTGATGGTGCGTCTTCTTGCTGCTTGCTTCTATCTCATAGATTAAAGACCCGCTTTGTAGATTGAAGGTCGCGTTAATAAGGACAATAAATACCACGTTATTGACATTCGGCCAGTGCGACAGGGTCTTACGAAGCCTCATCCTCGCAAACCTCAGCATGCTCGGCCTTCGATGTGCGTTCACATCTTGCCAGAAACGGCCCATCCTAGGTCGAGGGAACCTCTGAAAGTGTTGAAGCCATTGCCATGGAACAATTGCTACCATCCCACCTGCTACGACATTTGCGCCAGTGTAGCAACGGAATGATGGGACTATTCTCAGTCACCGTATGTGGAGTTTTTTCCTCCGTTTAACAAAGCCATCGCAGAGGATATGCGCTACACCCAACTCCTCGGGCTGGAGTAGATGACGACCAAGTCCTTCGAATTCTCGATGGTCAGCAAGACGCCCCAGATATAGACATCTCGGATGACGCGTCGGAGACGGATAACAAAACCTTCCTTGCCAATCACCCCACCTTCGTTTTCATGAATCTTACATTGTATCGTTAATCTTTGTTGTATAAATCGCATTCTCTTTAGTGTTACCGGGGGCTTTGCTCCGGTTCACAATACATTTTTCCATAGACAATCCCTTCGCTTACCTTCATCTGTTGACAGTACGTCCAACCCAAGTGCCACAAGGACTGCAAAGTCCTCTGAAACTTTTCGTGAGGCTCCACGATCTCCGACGGAGGACGATTTCCCTGAACCATGGGCCAGACGAATCCTCGGGATCGGGAAGATGCTTGCAACTATTTTGAAGACGGATTAATGACTCAAGAGCCATTTAGAAACGTCTAGCACTGACGCAACTTAACTGCATCTGCTGCGATAGAAGCAGGGTTTATAGACATTATAGCTAAAAGTCCTTTACGAATGAAGGCCAACCGAATTCTACGTCCATCGCTGGAGAGATGTGAGCAAGTGACACGTGAGCGGAACGAAGGAGGAGAATTGAAGAACCCTGCCATTTCATGGAATCAATTTTAACAGTCATTGGTGAATAGGTCGCAGAGCAATTTAAGAGAGTGCGCGTAGCAACGACGTAAAGGTCTGGGTAGAAGCATTTCAAGAAAATCGAAATTTGAATAACGATACAGGAGGACACCTTACAAACAAATATAATAGATTTGAGAATGAGAATTCTCATCACTCTATCGTCTTATCATCATCTTGTAGCGCCTCAGGACGATGAGCACCAACATTATCATCCAGCCCCTTTGCATCCTTTCTGAGTTCCTCTTCCTCGAGCGCGACGGTATCCTGTAGCTCTTCTTCCTCATCCTCGTCTTGCTCTTCTTCATCGGCAATTTCCTCTTCCTCTACTATCTCCTCTTCTTCCTCTTCTATCACCTCTTGATCTACGTCCATAGCTACGGGACCCGTCGATATTGATTCTGAAGGGGGAGGTCCTAACGGTGTAAATGTGAATGGCGTAGAGGCTTTTTCTTTTCCTTTGATTTTGATAGTAGGACCGAGTGGTGCTGGAGCAGAGAGAGACCCTGTACCGACGAGCTTGAGGACTGGGGTGGTGCGAAGAGCTGGAGCGGCAGAGGATGTGGTCCGCTTGGTCTTGTCTGTTTTACTGAGCTCACGATATACTGAAATACTCAAAGTTAAGGGAAAGACGAGGAAGACAGTGCCGATGGAAGCACACCTTGCAACTCCTGCTGAAGATTCTGTACTAGATCACCCAGCTCCATTACTTCGAGGGCACGGAGGACGTCTGTTGCGCTGATGCTCTTATGTTGTTTAGATAGAGCGACATCATGAGCACTGAAGACGATGAGATAGGATAAGACGCGTAAAAATGAGTGTACTTGCGTAGCAGCTATCAATGCAAATATCAGTTAGAACGCGTTGTTGTACCGTGTCAGACTAACCTACCGAGATAATTGATGAATACTGTGGAGCCTTTTACGAGGGATAAGATGGTTTCCTTTTGAAGTTTCGCGTTCTCGGGGATCTGTTAGGAAGAGATTGAGATTCACTGAGCGAAGAGGTAAGTGAAAGTGATGGCCAGACTAACTGCAGACCGAGCGATTTTGGTTATCAAGCTTTTGGGCAGCTCAAAGCTTTCGATACCATCTGAGACGGCATCCTGTTGGGCTTGAGCGGTGATGGTGCTCGTGTTGGTTTCTTTGCGTGGCATGGTGAAGGATCGGAAGAAAGAACAAAAACAGGTGGTTCGCGTGACACGTCCCACCCATTCATTATATAGCACCGAATCACTGACATTTCAGTGGCACTATAGCCAAGTGGTTACGGCGACAGATTCGAATGCTTAATACAATCTGTTTCCCTTTGGGAGCGCAGGTTCAAATCCTGCTGGTGTCGCTCTTGGCTATCGATTTTATCTTTTTCTTTTTCTCTCCTTCGCTGAATTGCAGATTCGAAATTTTGATTTGGGAAGGTTGCATGTGGGGGACAGTCGTCTGCTACCGCAAATGATTCCCAACTTAATATATGTACCTTGGCGTCGGCCATTCAATTCTCTTCCGGCCCGGACATTTAAATATCAGACATGATGCTTTCTGAACTATAAAGGCTGGCGCCCGAAAAGTTTCATAGGCAAACAGAATGGTTGTCTACAGCTCCCCCTTCCCTGCCATTCCCATCGTCAATCACTCCCTTTTCACTCATCTTCTGCAGAAGAGCAAGGATGGTAAACTCATTGGTGATCACTCTGCTGATTTACCTGTCTTCGTCGACTCCGTCACTGGGACTGTCTTGACTAGAGAGAAACTGCGCTCCCTGTGTCTTTCTCTTGGATATGGTCTTCAACATCACGGTATGAAGCTGGGGGATACGATTCTCCTGTTCTCACCCAATGCACTCGCGTATCCTGTCGTCCTTCTTGGCGGTGCGTACTCCACGCGTATACAAAACTTATACAGCTGAATGCTGCTGCAGCAATTTCCGCCGGTCTAAGATGCACGCTGGCCAACAATGCTTACACCAGCCATGAACTTGCACATCAATACACAGACAGCCGGGCACGGCGGATATTTACGACCGAAGACAGCCTGCCTGTTGTGCGCGCGATGTTCGAGGAAATTGGTGTGGGAGCTGATGAGGCGACTGCCAGAATTATCGTTCTTGGCAAGAGCCTCAAGTGGGCAGGTGGTCCAGATGCTCCTCGCACGTCGTCTTTACTGCACATGGAAGATTTACTCCGAGTCGGCTCATTGGAAGAGGAGGTAAAATTTGATGGGGAACGTGCACATGAGACTGCCTTGTTGTGCTATAGCTCAGTAAGCGCCGACCTTCCATTACGGCATTTAGTAAAATTCTCAATGATGGCATAGGGAACAACCGGGAAACCGAAGGTGCGTCTAGTCCCTTGATGTGCATCTTTCATCAAATACTAAAGATCCGTTAGGGCGTTGAGGTAAGCCCAGACCCTTTCGTATCTTCACGCTCGTAGCTGTCTTACTTCGAAAGACTTGTTGAGTCAGTAAATATGTCCTGGACTAACTCTATTCTTAGACAACACATCAAAATCTTACTTCGGAGATCGACATGCTGGCCGCAGTGTGGACTCATGGCTCCGGGAACAGGCATCTCGGTTTCCTACCCATGTATCATATCTATGGAGCTGTCATCATTCTCTTTCTCACACAAAAACTTGGTCATACGAGTTTCATCCAACAGCGCTTTGACCCACTGCACTTTTGCGAGGACATCCAGAAGTATAAGATCCAAATAGTTATGCTTGTTCCGCCCATAGCGGTATTCCTCTCTCGGCATCCATGTAAGTTTGTCGCATTCTCGAAAATTGGAGTGCCTTACTCGTATCTACAGTGGTGGAGAAATATAACCTTTCGTCGTTGAAGTTGTTGACGTCCGGAGCAGCTCCATTGGGCCCTGAATTGACGAACCAAGTGGGTGGCGAATCATTCCCATCTCCGCCTTCTTTGCTGAACCTATGTGCAGGTCACGGCGCGACTTCCGTCACTCAACGTGAATGCGTCGGTCATCCAAGGTTTCGGTATGACTGAACTTTCACCCGTGACACATCTGCTACCCCCGGCTGATGCAACACGGAAAGCGGGGAGTATAGGCTTGCTCTTACCCAACTTGCAATCCAGAATTGTTGACGAAGATGGGCGTGGTGCACAGACAGGAGAGATGTGGATCAAAGGGCCTATTGTGATGAAGGGATATATTAACAACCCGACCGCGACTGCCAACACCATCACGGAGGACGGCTGGTTAAAGACGGGCGATATCGCTGTCAGGGATGATGAGGGGTATTTCTTCATCGTGGATAGAGTGAAGGAATTAATTAAGTATAAGGTGAGATCTGGTTTCAACGGGTATTCTCAAATCCAGGCTGACAATTCCATCCAGGGATTTCAAGGCAAGTCTTGCACGAAACAATACGTGTTCATATAAATTTACCCTCTCTCTTTCAGTACCTCCGGCAGAGCTAGAAAGTGTACTTCTCAGTCATTCGGGAGTGGCCGACGTAGCTGTGATTGGTATTGAAGACGCCGCACAGGCTACGGAGCTACCTAGGTAAATCCTCCACGTTTTCCTAGCGTATTCTACTAAATGATCATGCCAGAGCATATGTTGTACCTACACATCCCGAAAAACTGAGGACAGACACACAGAAAGTTGAGTTTGGGGCTCAGATAGCCAAATGGATGGAATCAAAGGTAGCTAAGCACAAGTATTTGCGCGGAGGTGCGTTTCCAAAGCTTTCGATTTTATTTTCAAAGAATAACGATTGTCATAGGCGTCGTGACAATTGATATCATACCTAAAAGGTGAGCTTAGTGGTTGTATGTTCCACCCGTTAATGTGAATACTGCTTAGTGCTGCGGGCAAGATTCTTCGGCGGCAGCTGCGTGATCTGGCGAAGAAGGAGGTACGCAGTCGGCTATGATACTTGTCTTCTTAACTACATTCCGCGTGGGAACTATCACCTGTTTAGCGTATGTCTCGTTTTGCACCAGTGGCAATAATCCTTAGAGTTCTACGCGCGCGTTCATCTCGGAGGCCCATCAGCAAATGGACAGTGGCTCTTCTATAACGGCAAGAGCAACAGGCATACCGCTTTCTAGTTTACAGCCATTTGCATAGAGCTTGACAGTCATGCAGCTTTTATGCGAGTGAAGAGAGCACCTGTGGCTTGGTCATAAACCTGTGAGAGAATGCCCTAACGTTCGCGTATGAGCTGGCTATTTCGGCCATCTCGGAACCTCGCGCGGAGCCCCCAAAATCTGGTTTATGAAGATGTAATATATTTCAGCCCATCTTACTTATTAGATACCACCGCTTTGTTCACTCAGGTTCGCTCTTGCTCCAAATATGGCGGTCGGATGAGCGGTGCTCCAGCCATCCAACAAGAATACAAAACCACTAGAGCTAACCACTTGTTGAAAGTATCAAGTCTTGTCCCCTTCGGGGTGACATACGAAAAAATTGGAACGATACAGCATGGCCCCTGCACAAGGATGACACGCTTTCCCGGAGTGGTAGATCTACGGATCTCAACATTTATTTTATTTAACTCAACCAAATACCGAGTCCCGACAGCCAATTTTTCTAGCAAGAAGAATAACCTGGGTTTCAAGTGCAGGTGGGGTCATAGTAAGTTACTGTGTCAAAAACTAACGTCCCGACACCCTCGGCGGGACCGTACAGAGCGGCATGATACAACCGGGGTTCCGTGGTCGACCTTAAACCAGAGTTGAGCGCCGAGAGCTCAGAAAATCTTAGAGCCTAGAACCCATTTACATTAACGTTAGCGTCTGCAATTGTGCTAGAAGCTTTCACTGGCGACAGTCTATGTAGATGGAGAATTACCACCGGAATACACATATCTGTCGAGCATGAATCTCTTAAAACTTTAAAATTCTACATTCGTACAATCTCGCTATGTACCTCTCTTTATGATATCAGCAGCCTAAAGGACAGTCGTCAGCGAAAGCCTCAGGTATAGACCGTTACATACCATCTCACCCACAACATAAGCGCTGGATTGTGTATGACTCACTAATTCCTATCAAGGCACTCAGTCAAATACATTGGTCTTCGAATCCACTCACCATCGGAAACACAGACATATCAACCTATAGAATCATCAGACTCAGCGACGACCCGAATAATCAGTGTCGACGTACCACACGCAGGTTGTCTGTTCCATAAACTCTTAGCGTATTATCTACTACACCTCCTAACTCTCGAAGCATCATTGCTGCAGTCCCGAGCGGGTGGTATACCGTGGAGCAAGTGTCCTTGACAAATGCTTTCAGTCCGTCACCTTCCAAGTCATCCTTGGTCGGAAATACCAGCCCATCTTTTTTCACAAGCGCGGTCAACGGTTCCGTCTCGTAGAGCTTCAGTGCCAATTTGACCGTATGTATAAGAAGCTCAAGATCGACGGAGTTGGAGAAGTATTGCGGATCGATAGCCGGCGGCTCCAATGGGTTACTCGACCGGATATGCACGCTTCCTCGAGAGAAGGGATGCAGAATGCTAGCGTTCAGCGTCATATATCGCTTCCCGGGCTTGGGCTGGATCGTGAGCACAGGGAAGTGACCGTTGTAAAAGGATACTCTGTAAAGTGATTTGCAGTGTACTTCGCGTTGGCGTAGAGACTATGACTCACTCTCCCTGTGCATGATTCTCGTCACAGAACCATCGCTTCTGGATCTCGTACTGCCTTGTTAGACCGGCACGAAGTTGAGGATTGTCTATACTGGCGAGGTAGGCATCACATTGTACATTGGCTGTATCTCGCCATGCTTGGGCGTCACCCAGCTTTGATGCGGGGACAAAGACATACGCAGGAGCTTGAAGTGTCGATAGGAGGCCCTTCTGCTCTTTACTGTGTTGCAAGGATTAAAACACTGGAGCATGTCAAGTCGATGCACCTACTACAGCTCAGCGTGTCTCTCCGCTTCGGCGACATCGAGTAGCACGTCTACTGTTTCCAAAGACGCGTCAATCTCGGCAACGGTAAAAGCCATGACGTGATCCTCTATGTTCAGTCAGGACATTTCTTACCACAAATGGAACTTTGGCACTTGCGTAAATTCTCGCCCACACCAGGAAGGTCCACTAGAGTCTTGACGCCATGCCTCTCAAGAATTTTGGGATTCCCAATGCCAGAAAGCTACCCGAATTTTCCAACTGGAACGATGGCGACGAAAAGTTGGATACGGACCTCTAAAAGCTTAGGAGACTGGAGAGAGCCTGTGGAGTCCTTAAGTAAAAACTATACAAAGCTCACATGGGTTTGAAGTACCAGCGGAGAGTATAACGTCCTTCGTTACAGCTGCCCATAAAGATGATCCATCCTTCATGAACTCAACCCCGATAGCTCTCCTCTTGCCTTCTCTCATATCTTCCAAATCAAAGGTGACCTAGAAGGTCTTTCGTTTTGACTCCTGCTGCACCTACAAAAATGCCATACCTTCGTAGCCTGGGCCCCTGTTAGCACCATAAAATTTGCCCGTTTCGCATTGGGCGCGTAATATCCAGTTGCTGCAGATGATCGCGTCGCTGTTCGAGGATCCACCGTGTTGTAAACAAATGCGGAGCCGACAGTAAAACCTCCACCCTACATGTCACATATCGATAACAGAAATGATAGAAGTGAAGAGTGAAGGGATTACGGGTTCAGAGTTTCTCGGAACGCGCAGATTTTCGAGCGCATCGAAGAGTTTGGCACAGATGGGGTTTTTGTTGAGAGCAGGTTGCGTAGCGCAGCAGGGAAAGCCAGGTCTGGAGTCGAAAGTCAAAAGCTAGT